CAGCTTGACTCGACACGCGAGCTACTTAAGCTTGAGCTCGACTCGTATTGAGTTCTAATCTGACCAGTACTGGTGTGTCGTGTCAACTCATGATTGAATTACGTTTTTTTTAAAGAAAAGGTAAAAAAATATTTTTTTATTTAATATTTTTGCAATAAAATTATGTATTGAAGTCGGATTTACAAATCAAAAATAATTTTTAAAAATTAAATATAACTCAGATTTGAGTTATATTTTAAATGCGTTTAATATAATATTTAAAAAATATTTTTACATAAAAACTACAAAAAAACTGTGAAAACGATCTTTATTTATTTTATAAGTTTACATTAGTTTTTATAATTGAATTTGAAAACTATTTTTGAAAACAACTCTACTTATTTCCATCAAATACATTTTCATAAGATTTGTGTATCATTTGTTTTCAAAAACAAAAAATTGTATATAATTTCTATATCAAATGGACTCAGAGCTCATATCATGTGTGAAAAATCAAGAAGTAAATGATGAAAAATAGGGAAAAAAAAAAAAAAAGAATAACTCAAAGTAACTCAATTATATGACTATTTAAAGTAATATATACCATTTAAAATTATCAAAAATCATTAAAATATTAGTAAATTTCATCATATTGTAAAAACTTTGTCGTAAAAACATTAAAAAAAAAAATTGACACTTTTTGATAATTGTACGTGCGTTTGATATTAATTAGTCTTATATGAGTACAAAAAATAATCATGTTTACCTTATCGAGAAAAAACTTATACTAATGTATTATGTTATTTGAAAATGCGTTTGGTAAAATTGAGTAGAATAATTTTTAAAAACAGTTTTCGAATACAATCCTAAAAATTAGTGTAAAATTAGAAAACAATTAAAGGTCGTTTTCACAGTTTTTAATGGTTTTTAATCTGATAATAAAGTTTTTGAGTTTTACATCTGTTATGACTAAAAAATCAGGGTTGACGTAAGCTAATGTTAGTGAGCGTCAATCAGAGTTCAGGAAGGCTTTGCGCAGTCCTAAGTCTGTTGCTTCACCGAAGACAGAAAGAATATAGCTGTCAACAACTCAGCCGACTTAAGTTTTGTCTGTGAAGGAATTTAGTTCACACACCTATCCAAGTCCCATTTAATTTAAGGATATTTTCTAAGTTATCAACCAATGGGACACAAGGAAGGATTTGCACAGCACTCACCCACTTGCAGATTTGTAATCATTATCTTGAGCTCAGCAGTTATAAATAGGCAGCTCCCCTTTCTAAAATCGGGATCAGACACTCTGAATTTAACAAAGAAAATAGCAAAGATATCATACGAGAAAGAGACTGGCTTAATATCCTCTCTCAATACCAAGCATTTGTAATTCAGTTCGTAATTCGCGACCTCTTGTAACTTGGCTAATCACCAAAAATACTCATATAAAAAAAACAGTGGATGTAGGAATCCCTTTAAGCATCCGAACCATTGTAACATTCCCATTGTCTCATTTACGTTTAAGTCTTTGCATTCCACTTTAAAAAAATGACCTTTTTTTAATCAACTCTCATAATTAATCACGTGTAATTTTTAAGACCTTCTTAGTGCTTTGCACGTGCAAGGTCTGTGTAATTTTTAAGACATTTTTAGTGCTTTGCACATGCGAGGTCTTTGGTATCAAAATTTAGCATCAACAACATCAGACATATTTTCAAATATTAAAATATAACTCAAAATTTTGTATTATGTTTATGTAAATCCCTCCATTTCCAAAATAATCCTCACATATATATGTATATAAGCTTCGAATATTCTAAATATAAAGTCATTTCAACCCATTTATATGCCTCTTGTTACGTGAATTATGCTACTTGGACTAGTATCTTCATCACCATATCTTATATTATCATTCAAATTTACAATGAAAAATCCCACATCGTGGAAGTTGCCTTTTCAAAGTCCTTTCAACTACTTTAACACATGCATCTTGCTTTATAAAAAGTCTGCAAGATCAACGGTGGTCTTGGATGTTTCCCATCTCGACGTCAAGTTCATCCTTGGGCCAAGTAGAGTATAAATCATATTGGCCCAAAGAAAGTGGGTCCGTTTGGTTTATTATTTCATACCCTATTCCCAATCCTATTCTCCAAATAACTGTTTGTTTCATTATTTAGGAAATACTATTATATTTTATTTAATTATTTTTAGACCCCTTAAGTTTACTAATTTAATTAAACACCCCCAAAAAATAGTTTAAAAATTAACAAAAACACCCTCACCCACCATAGTTTCCAGATTCTGACAATCACCGTCGGTGGTAACTGGAATCTGTCACAACGGCATAAAAACGATCAGAACTGACTGGTAATTCTCCGATCTGGCCTTTTCCGGACAGATCTGACCGGAAAATGCCAGATTGACGCACGACCAGCCAAATTCGATCGGTCTGTGTCCTAACACTAGATTCCGACCAGATTCCAGTGGTGGTGGCCGGAATCTGGCACTGTGGGTGGGTGGGGGTGTTTTTGTCATTTTACAAAATTTTTATATATTGGGGTGTTTAGTTAAATTAACAAACCTAGGGGGTTTTTTGTTAATTTTTAAATTTTATCTCGTAATAATCACCCTATTCAACTACCCAATATTATTTCCAAAATCCTATCTAAAATAACAAACCAAACGGATTCAGTGTCTTTATGATCTTCTGCAGGTTGTATTGTCTATTAACCAGAGGTTTTGGAAGACTTTTTCCCTTAGTGAGAGCCATCCAATTCTTGTGATTGCTCTCATCTTCACCATGATCATCACCAAATCCACGCATCTCAATGGTTCCTTTCACCAATTGGGCCGAGCTGCCTTCTTCCATCTTCTCCATTGATTTTGTTGACTTTGACTTTTTTTGTAAATTGAGTAGATTATCAATCGGGTTGAGCCCAACACAACGCCAGTAGCATCTGGCACTTGAAATTGTTTGCCAATGTCAAAAATTTCCTTCATATTTTAAGTTTTTAATTATAATTTCATCGAGTTTACAAAACTAAAATATTGAAAATAAATTTAAAAATTTTCGATTAGGATGTTTTAAATTCCACCTCATAATAATCACTTAACTCTACCTAAAAATAATATTTTAAAAATCTTACTCCAAATAACCAAACAAACACACCTATAAATTATTATTTAGGGAAACAAGTAAATAACAGATTCATAAAAAACTACTATAGACTCTTGAAAAGCTTCATAGGGAATGCGAGAAAGCTAAGAGAGAATTGAGTAGCCAAGAACAAACGAGCAATGTGATTGAGTCTCTCTTTGATGGTATTAATTTCTCGCCTTTGACAAGAGCACTTTGGGGCTAGTGAAGAGGGCTTTGGAAGATGGTGGATTGAAGAAAAAAAGATATTCTGTTACCCGGGTCACAGGTCAACCAGTCCAACCAAGTTGGACTGATGATGCCATCGTACTGATGTCAGCATGATGATGTCAGCGCTTCCAAAAATATCCAGATTTTTCATTTTTAAACAAGTTTCAAATTTTCAATAACAGCTTAATTACAGAACCAAAGTAATTCAAATTCAATAACAATCCAAACATGATTTAACAACAATCCCAACATACAATATAATATGTTATAGCTCCACCCAAAATTTATAATTGACAAAAACTTTTGTAGATTACAACATGCTTGAAATGCGGAAATAGAATGCTATTCCAAAAGACACCTTAACTTTTAATTTAAGCATTATATCTCTTTATTCTCAGGTTTGGGCAAATCTAGTTATTCAACCAGAGGGAGAAAACACAAATAATCTGAGTACCTTCAAATTATCTTCTAGATTCGAGTAAAATAATTTTGTAACTTCCAATCAAATAATCAAAACAAAACTCCCAAATCTGGAGGATTCTACCAAAAAAAAGAAAAAATCAACTGCCAATCAAATAAACCAAGCATTATAGTCAAAACAAAACTTCCAATCAAATAAACAAACCAATACTTCCGAATCTAGAAAAAGAGAATCAAATAAACCAGATGTACCTTCAATTGCCGTCGTCATCGATTTCCAGCAAGGGAGGGAGGTGTCATCATCATCTTCGAGCAAGGAGGGAGGCATCTTCGTCGTTGTCGAGCAAGGAGGAAGGCGTCATCATCGATTTCTAGTGAGGGAGGGAGGTGTCGTCGATTTTAGAAAGTGGAGTTGCGATTGAGACAATGGTTACGATTTTAGACTTTAGAGAGTGAAGTTGATTGAGATTGAGGGGCGATTTCAAAGAGTGGTTGCATTTAAGAGATTGGCTACATAGAGAAACTGAAAAATGAATAGATTTAGGGCCTTTTTTACTTGTGAAACAGTAAACCGGTTTATCAGGCAGTTCGGTTAGACCGGGCGGTCTAAACTGTTCACCCCGTGTAATGGCGGGTTAAAGCGGCTTTTTAAGTATAAACGGGTTTTATATTAACCCGGATCGGACACACAATCTAATCCTGATTGAACCGATTGGACTGACTAGTCCGAACCGGGTTTTAAAACAACGATTAAAGGTCGGAGAAGGGTAATTAAAATAATTAAGGACGAGATATAAAAAGTGAAAGAAACAAATTATCTATGTTCATGACAATAACATTAAACGAGACGAATAATATTTTCATCCAGTTATAAAATTAAATTGAATTTATATGCATATATGTTTAGAAAATCAACAAAATAATCAAGAATTCAGCGAACGACATGACGGTCCAATAACTATGATATCAACGACCAGTAATACTATATCTATCAAAGGGACGACAAGTATTTTAGACGGAGTCAATAAATTGATACGTACGGCAGGGCGCTCCAAAAATTATGATATCTACGACATGTAGTATATATATCTGTCACAAGGACGACAAGTATTTTAGAGGGAGTTGGGGTTTTGATGGGCCTAAAGAAGAGGCCCAAAAATCCAACTACTGCGGACCGTCCTTATGGTCCCCCAAAAGTGTTCATTTAAAAGGTCGGAGACTATATTTCGAGAAACATCGAACAAAATACACAGCTCACTTTTTACTCGTGCCATGTCGAAGCACACTCGCGATCAAGCTCTGGTAATCAGCTAATCATCTTGTTAATTTTTCTAAAGTCATCTTAATTTATCGGTTTGTTCATGCTCTTTTTGGTTGCCGAGAAAACTGAAGAAAGCGAAACGAAACGAAATAAAATGAAACGAAGCTGTTTATGTCGCTTTCTGTTAAAAAATATAATATTAATGCTCTTTAGTTTATTCTTTAAGGTTTTAAGATATTATAAATTTAATTCTAAAATGCTGATTAGCAGATTAAGTTGTGTATTTTATGCAAATGTGCTTAACATTTAACGCATTTATAAGGACTTTTTTTTTTTTTTTTAATGGTTTATTAATTGTCAATAAGAGGTGTTTATGTTATAGGTAAATTTGTTACTATGTTCCAGGATTTCCAGGGGTTTTTGAATGACTTGCAGGACTGGGAATTTTCACTCAAAGACAAAGACAAAAGAATGAAGCCTCAAGCTTCTCAAAAGGATAATTTGGTAATGTGCTTTGCATGCCATTAATTCTAGTAAGTGTGTTTGTTTGTTTTGCTGCTTGTATTTGTTTTGTTCATCTTTTGTTATTATGAGTTTTAGTGTGTAGTTATTAAAAGATTTTCAGGAACCAATTACATGATAGTGAGGTCAAATCTTAAACAGCATATAACATTGTTAGCGGTATGTAGTTTTTGAATCAGGGTGCATGAATAGCTGCCCTTAGTTATTTTATTAGACTCTTGGTGTAGGAGATTGTAGCATGTGTGGTTGTTTGTGCATGTTGATGGACCAGTGGGTGGTTAAGATTTGTGAATGTTTGTGTATATGGCATAGATGCTGTAGTGGGCTAATTTTTAAAGGTGTTGTGTTTCAGAAAGTTGGTGAAAAGCTTGGACCAAGTGGAAATACATCTACGGGCACTTCTTATTCTAAGAACTATGATGCTGTTAATCGCATATCAAGTAGTTTCATGACTGAAGAAAGTCTTCCAGATGCTACTTCAGAGAAAGAACTGGTAGGAATTTACCTGTGAGTCTAACATTCAATCATATTGTTTCTAAATTTTGAATTTACAGGGTAATGAGTATTTCAAGCAGAGGAAGTTTAAAGAAGCTATTGACTGCTATTCAAGAAGCATTGCCCTGTCACCTACTGCAGTAGCCTATGCAAATAGGGCTATGGCCTATCTTAAAATCAAGAGGCAAGTTATATAAGATATTCACTATAGTATATATGGACTGCCAGAAGGTTTTAGTTCTGTTCCTTTGTTTCATTACTGAATTATAGCCTAGAGCTTTGTGTCCTTGACTCGAAGGGCACGATCCATGTAAAATGAGAATAACGTTATTAATATTCTTTTTGTTTTCTACTTCTCGTTCATTAGATTCCAGGAAGCTGAGGATGACTGTACAGAGGCCTTAAATCTAGATGATCGCTACATAAAAGCATACTCACGCCGAGCTACGGCTAGAAAAGAACTTGGTAAACTTAAAGAGTCCATTGAGGGTATGTTTAATTCTGCCTTCATTATGGTTTGCCCATAATAATAGATGCATTGATTCTTTTGTGATTTTGATGTGTGACATGGTGATTATAGCTGATTTCAGATTCAGAGTTTGCCTTGAGGTTGGAGCCTCAAAACCAAGAAATCAAAAAACAATATGCTGAGGTCAAATCTTTGTATGAGAAAGTAAGGATCTCACTGCGTAGAACTCATTTCATCACTTCTACTTGTTGGCATTTAACCTACTTCTAGGGCAGAGATGCGGGTTTTATAACTGGTTATAATGTCCCAATTAACACACACACACACACACACACACACACACACACATATGTGTGTGTGTTTTAATATGTTGTTATATTAATGTAATATTGCTGCTATTTGTTCTCCCAGGAGATTCTTCAGAAGGCATCTGGAAAACTTAAAAGCTCTGCACAAGGAAGGCAGAAAGTTGGAAAGCCAGGAATAAAAGTGAATGGAGATGAGGTCTGTGCTGTTCCAAATACCACTCAGAAGACCGGAGTAGTAGCAGTTCAAGAAGATCATGCTAAGGTATTCTCTATTGTTTGTTACATTTATTAGAGGAAAATAACATTTGTGGACATTTAGGATTTTCATGCAAATAAAGGACCTGTAAGTGGTTGGGATATGTAGAGAGAGAAGAATGAACTTTTTGGGCATTCTTCTTATATATTCATAAACCTATTCTATTGTGGAACATTTACACTCTAGATCTTTTTCTTTCAAATAAATGGATGAATTGATGAAATAAAATTAATCAGTGATGCTTTGTTCTCTTTGATTTTTCCTTTTTATTAATATATAGAAGTTCCTCAGTCTGAGGACAAGTACATAAGAACCTTTTTAGGGATAATGATATGAGTGTTGATTTGCATTCCACATACAATTCTTCTTTCTTTTATGAGTTTTAGCAACTCTGATTTCATGTCTCTACCATAATGGGCTACAACCTAGAGTAATGAATCTCTTACCATGCGCCTACAACTTCCTAGAGTGATGGATAGGTTTTTCTATATGTCTCACGCACTTTGAGGTCTTTGATGTGGAACTATTGATCAATTCATGGATTTAGTCGAAACTAAAACATATTGGAATTGTTTCTTCCTACTATAAAGGATAAAGAAAATTTTTGGCTTGTTTTTAAATAGTACAATTTATTGAATCATCTCTATTTTCCTGAATCTAACTCTATAGCAGGCAAGTAATGGAGATAATACTGTAAGAACTTCTCTCTGTGTGGAAGAAATAGGAGACAGAAGTGTCAGAGCTGAGAGCAAAGCTAAAGTTCTGCAAGACGGTTCTCATACAGATGCTTTACGAAGTTCTGGTTTGGAGAAGGTATAATGTCAGTTCCTTGCAAGTAAAAAATTTTCTGTCTCTGTCTCTTGGTTCCAGTTATGAGAGTTGCTAGTCTTTCCTGATTAATGACCACCAAATTTGATCACATGAAAATGCATCGTTGACATGATTCCTTGGAAATCAAAAAGCATTTCACCACCTCTCCTTATTTGACTATAGGTATTTTGATGCATATATGAAAAGCATAATCCGAGATTCTGTAATTTGCAGTCAAAATACTTAATATACTGTGTAACCCAACTTATAAGATGACTAGTGTGCTAGATTTTGGTTATAATTTTTTTTTTTCCTATTTTTATCCTTGATATATCCCATGACATCTCTTTTGAGGATCGGTCTATAAAACATCCCTTATGATATGATATGGTTTTCCTCCCTTCCCCAGTCAAGGTTGGCACTCATTTTTCGTAGGCAAATTCTTTATTTGTTTAGGACCCATTACTGCTGTGTTTTTATCCTTTCTTGGTGCTTGACTATGCGCTAATTTAATTTTTCGCAGAGCAATCATAGAGCTAGAAAACAAGACTTGAATCCATCGGTGCATGAACTTGCTTCTCGAGCAGCTTCTCGAGCCATTGCTGAAGCTTCTAAAAACATCACACCTCCAAAATCAGCTTATGAATTTGAGGTTTCTTGGCGAGGCTTCTCTGGTGATCAGGCCCTACAGGCTTGTCTGTTGAAGGTCTGCAAAAACAAATATTGCTTTTGTGGTTGTTAACTGTGGGCATGTGTGTGCAGTTTCTATATTGTTTGGTAGTCTTAGTTGATAAGCACATTTTGAATCAAGTCTGATATATAGTGACAATCCTTTTTAATGTATTTTTTTTTTCTTACTTCGGTTGGTTCATTTATATCAATACTAATTCTATTACTACTATTAATATTCCTTCTTTATTTTTCAATTATCAGGCTACTTCTCCAACTGCGCTGCCACAAATATTTAAAAATGCCTTGTCTGCTCCTATACTAATTGACATCATTAACACAGTCGCCACCTTTTTCACGTAAGTAGAGAGTTCTGATCTTGTGTATGTCTCAGATGCATGAACTTTGGTTTGAGCTTTAGTTAGATGCTTGATTCCCCTTTGATTTATTCTGTTTGCAGTGAAGAAATGGATTTGGCTGTCAAATATCTAGAAAATTTAACCAAGGTCCCAAGATTTGACATGATCATCATGTGCCTTTCATCAAAAGACAAGGCTGGTATGTTCTCATAAATGAACTTTATCAGATGTCAAATTCTGTGTAGAGTTTATCTACAGCAACCATAAATTTTCAGTGGAGCAAGTCATTCTCTCCACTACTCATTATGCTTGGAACTTGATGACTTTGATATCAAACATTGAAGAGCATTATGAATGTGATTGTACTGACCTCATTACCTTTTTTAACAGATCTCCAGAAAATATGGGATGAAACATTTTGCAATGAAGCTACTCCAGTTGAGTATGCTGAGATCCTTGATAATTTGCATTCAAATTACTGCCTCAACCGGTAATGATCCTGATGGATGTCCAAGATATGTTTTGAGCTATTTGGTTTGTCTCTTCTAAACTTTTGAAACTGTAAATTTACATGTAATGCAGCAATCTTCCACCACTTTTTGGTTGTAAGCCAGTTAACCGGTGGCAAAGTTGTCCTACCACCACGGTTTCCTTTATGGGTCCTGTCAGCTCATGTTTATATATTCCGAGATTTGTCGATTATAGTTGATGAAATTAAAAGTTAGGCACTGATGGTAGGCTGAATATGACTCTAGATATGAACTGAAAATTACTCTAGAAAACCATAGTGGGGTTGTTGGTGGTTGATTGTTGGAAGTCAATTGTTACTCATTTTTCTCGTTGAATGTATTTGAAAACCCACTACAGTCATATTGTTGACATCTGTGTACAATTATGGATCCCAATTTCCAAATACAAAAATCTATGTAGTCTTTTCCAGATGGAGTATTCCAGGTTTGCTTTAGCACTTATCCTTTGAAATTGTTGACATCTGAGTACAATTATGGATCCCAATTTCCAAATACAAAAATCTATTTAGTCTTTTCCAGATGGAGTATTCCAGGTTTGCTTTAGTACTTATCCTTTTTCAAAGTTTAGAAAATCCTAGATTTCACCCAAGGGATCTACTCTTATATTTTCCATACTCTTGTTGGAAAATGGAACACTAGTCAATGATAGTTACTTCTCAACTCATTCAAATTTTATCCTTATGGATTGCCCTACATTGTTGATCAGATTGTTGGGCAAGTTTAATCTTTCAAATCTAAATCTAAAGTTGAAAAAAGAAGAAAAGGTGACCTGCACCTTTTTCCTATAAGAATAATGGGTAAATAGTCTACTAATAACATGTAAAGTACTGGGCCAAAACAATAATGAGATTGTTAATGGAAGAGTTGAAAAATGTATCAACTTTAGAAATGTTTGACAATTAGGGTATTTATTTACATCATTCATGGGTAGTTCAGATGGTTAGGATAAATTGAAGATGGTGTGGATAAACGTACAGTCTTAAGTCTGTGATTTAAGTGGAAGACTGCGGCAATGAGTTGTACTAGTCTGTCTTGATGATTAGTCAAAATGTGAGATAATGTTATTCAACTATTGGAGAAATCCGGTGGTAAAGTTGTTGAATCTCATCATCAATATTGCCTCAAATTGAAGGAAGGAAGATTGTACATGTTTTTTTAATTTCTGGACCATTCTTGAGAACCACTCAAATAATAATGACATGTCTTTTAGCCAATAATTCTACTCAAATTTTGGTCTGGCCAGTTCATTGTTCAATTATAAATCAACAAGAAGATAGGTCAATGGCTTTTAAAGCTATGTACCCCACCCCTATCATTCATATTAAATTTCATGGTTGGCAGTCTCTTTCTTTATTTATATCTCAAGGGGTTAATAACTTGTCGCCCCTGAGGTTTGGCATAATATCTTTTATCACCTCCCAATGAAAATATCTCCAAACTAAATATAACTGTATAAAGAGTAGAAAAAATATTCTTAATAAATTATTGGCTTTTTTTTTTTTTTTGACATATGTTAAGTTATTTGGGCTAAATTGTCAACTACTTGTCCAAAATGACAACCCTATATATTTAGGGGTGTTAGTGTTAGTTTCGCAAAACTGGAAGGGAACACGATTTCACGCCGAACCTCAAGGGTACCAGCATAATGAACCCTATTCCAAGCTGTTGCCATCTCATGGTAATGGCGACTCCCACATGTACCAATCAGTCGCCCAACATTTATTATAACAATAATTTGAACTGACCCAATTACTTTTGCTCATTAATGTCAACCCCTATTCCCACATAATCCCCCCACCAAAACCAAGATTACAAACTAATTAATTAGTAATCAAGATACTCAAACTTGCTTAGCATGCAAGTTGATGTTGTAGTTTCTTAAGTTAAAACAAATAACCTCCTAAATAAAAGATAAATCACATGGAGATTCTTGCCATAGTTTTTGACCCCCCTTTAGATTTGATTGAATAACAAAATCTTCCTCAAGCTTCTAAAACAATATAAATTCCCTTACTATAAAGTTTTGAGTAATACTAAACTAACAACCACTTCTTACAAACTTTCTCTCACAACCCTGATGTGACAGTTCACAATTGGTCAGCTTGCAATTAATTAGTAAGACTTGTTGTGAATTGATCAATTGCAAGCTACCACTCAGGGTTGTGAGAGAGGATTGTTGGTGTAGTATTTTTCTAAAGTTTTAGGTATTAAAATAAACGATAAGAGGATACTTCGGTAAATATTTATTAATTCAGTCTACGAGTACGTCAAGGATAACGAGAAGAAGAATCTACAATCTCAAGAGAAGTTTGGGTGATTGTAGGAGGAGGAGGAGTATCAAGACCGCTAGACTGCGAGGTACCTGTATCTCCAAAACTAATAATGCGATTTTCTTTCGAAGAATAATGAAGAGGAAAAGGGGCTATAGGAGCAATAGATGAGTCAGAATTTGTCGTTTTAGGGTTTAGAGGGAGATTTTTGTTAATTCATAAACCTTAAAAGGGATTGCTATTATTAAATCAAACCTTAGGGGGTCTTTTTTTTTATTATTATTATTTTTAAACTCTAAATTTTCTAAACTACAAGATCTAGGAGTTCTGAGACTTTGATTTTGGCTTTGAGATTCTGAATTTTATAGTATAGTTCTAATGTGGGTCCAAAAGATATGATAGTATTTATGGGACAAACCCATTTGCCAATACTTAAAATTATTGGAATTGTAGGCTAATTCTGATCCTGCCTTTTGTGTTTTGTGGGAAAATTAACTATGGATTCAGCATCTATTCACACTCTCAAGGACATTGGAACATGGTACAAGGAGATTCCTTGCTTCAGAATTATTGCTCCAAGTTTTGAGAAAGATGACAAATCAAGATAGTGACTCTTCTTTCCTAAGAATTTATGTCTCTACTGTAAGATTCCAGTCTTGTTCAATCTAAAATTTAAATCTTGTTTAAATTAATATCTACATAAACTAATCACTTGTCTAAACTAATAGAAAAAAAATTTATGGGTACGTTTGGTTTATTATTTTGGATAGGATTTTGGAAATAATATTGGGTAATTGAATAGGAGAGTATTACGAGGTAAAATTTAAAAATTTATTAAAAAACCCATAGGTTTACTAATTTAATTAAACACCCCAACATATAAAATGACAAAAATACCCCCACCACCAACAGTGCCAGATTCCACCACCACCGCCAGAATCTGGCCGAAAAATGGCGTTACGACACAGACCGGTCGGATCTGTGTTGTAACGCGTCGTTAGATCTACGGCCTGCTGTGGTCATCAACAGCCGGAAAAGACTAAAACGATGGCCAAAGATATGACCGTCGTTTTTTGTCAACGATGGCCAAGATTTGACCGTCGTTGATCGTCAACGACGACCGGATCTGGCATTTGACGACCAGATCCATTGTGGATCTAGCTGTAAAAGGCCAGATCGATGAATTACCAGTCAGTTCCAGTTGGTAATTCACCGTTGTGGCATATTCCGGCTACCATCGACGGTGGTTGCTGGATTCTGGCAAGTATGGGTCACGGGGGTGTTCGGTGGTAGCCGGAATCTGGCAAGTATGGGTCACGGGGGTGTTTTTGTTAATTTTTAAACTTTTTTCAGGGTGTATTTAAAGAAATTAATAACCTTATAGGGTCTAAAAGTAATTAAAAAATAGGGTAATATTTCTGGAATAATGTGCCAAACATTATTTGGATAATAGGATTGGGAATATGGGCAGAAATAATAAGTCAAACATGCCCCATATTATTTCACTATCAAGGTTTAATGTTGGTTCGGTTTGGGTTCATGTGGATTTGTCTGTACAATAGTAGTTTAAGCGTATTTGTATATATAAGAGTAATTTTTTTTTTTTTTTTTAACTGGAAGTAAGGGGATTCGAACCTGAGACCGTACGTCTTAACCATGTATCCTAACGATTGTCCTATCTCTTAAGCTACTCAGGGTAATATTATAAATATAGAATTTCCATGGTTAATATCAAAATAATCAGCATTAAAATGTAACTTCTAGATTACAATAATATGTCTAAAACAATAAAAATTTCTAGATTATAATGTATATTGATAAGTGCAACTGATAACACTCAAGTGAAATTGAGTTATCATTTATATAAATTGACCAGTGAAATATAATGCCATAAATGATGTATACATAAATGAGAATGACATTTATTCACTATATATATATTATTGGAAAAATATGATAAAGCTGGTCCACTTAATATTCTTGATAAGTTCACAATACTAATAAATGGTTAATAATATTATTCTCATTTATAAATATGTATATTCATTAATTTATAAATTAAAAATCTTCATTTAATTTCACTATTTTTGCATATCAGCATATTTATATTTATATCATGAGACTAACATTAATTTGTTGAATCATTTACAAATAAATTAAAACAATAGGAAAAAAATAAAACAATAGAATCGTTTTTAAGAAAATGTGTTTACATCCTAAATAATACAATAATCTATCAGTGTTGTGGGTAGTTTAGACAGTTAGGATGAATTAGAGATAGTATGGATAGACGTACGGTTTCAGGTTCGATTTTTCATATGAGCATTCGCGATTTAAGTAGGGACTGTAACATTGGATTGTTGTACCAATCTCTCCCAAGTATTAATTAAGGTGAGTGTATGCTAGCCCAAACACCTTAGTTATTGGAAAAAAAAAAAATACAATAATCAATAAGAAAACTTTCCAACTTCGATCACAAATAAATATGATTAATCACAATTTATCATATTCATTCATATAATTTTCTACACAAATATTTATCGTGATTGAACAGATGCACAAACTCAAACTCAAACTCAAAACAAATAATTTCTTCGGACAATCCTAGTTCTCCCTACATCAATAACACATGGATAAAGCTTAGGAGATAATAAAATAAAATTTGTGAATATAAAATGTTCACTTCACAACATCCCTCATTTGTGTTCAAAATAAAGTGGACTTTGAGCCTACTTGAGTTGTGTCAAAAAGCAAGAACACACTGCTTTTGTTTTCAAAAATACTTTGTGTTTGTTTTCAAAAACACCCATCAAGTATTTTGCTTCCAACATTCGAACTCCACAAATTTTTGAACGAACTAACTGCTGTAGTTTTGGTTGGTTTCTGAGATACCTGTTTGAGACTTTGAGTCTTCCAACTTCTGACAACACACAAAACACTTTTACTTTTTCCCATCACGTGATCTTGCAATCCCCTTCAAGTTGTATTAACCCACGCGCCATTTCTCTCTCTCTCTCTCTCTCTCGATCACTCTGTTGTTCTTTTCTTCTTGTTTTCTAACACTTCCTTTGCAAGTTCTATTCTTGCTTCACTGCTCTTGCAGATCTGTCACTGCTGGGCAAAGGTTTGATCCATTTTTGTTCTCTCTTTTGTGGGGTTGTTTTGTTTTCGTAATTTGCTTATTAAAGCTCTTCTTTTTCTGGGTTTGTGTTTTTTTTTTCCTTCTACATTTTGTTTTGGCTTCTGGGTACTGAGTGTGTTGTGTTTTTTGCTTAAAAATTTCACCTTTAGCTGTTTCTGCTGTTCTCTAGTTAATGTTTGTAGCTTATGTAGTCTCAAAACTTCTACTTTATGTTGCTTTGTGCTATTTTTTGGCATTGTTTAGTGATATTTCTGTTCATGAGTGATTCACTTTTGTTCTTGTACAGCACTCAGTGAAGTGCATTTTGTTTAGATTTTATATAAGAAAAAGAAGAACTTTCTAGAAGAAAAAATAGTAGCTTTAGTTTCTTAGGATGTTTTAACTTGTGTTGTTAAAATGTTTGATCTTTTTTTGGAGCTTTTGTTAAATGAATGTGTGTTTTTTGGGTTAAAAGCTTCATAATTTGTTAAGATTTACTTCTTCTTCTTCTTCTTCTTTTTCCTTGATTTCTTTCTTGCTTTGAATTTGTGCAGGAAATGGGGTTCATTTCTAGAAAGATTTTCCCAGCATGTGGGAGCATGTGTGTGTGTTGTCCTGCTATGAGGTCAAGATCTCGGCAACCAGTAAAGCGTTACAAAAAATTGCTTTCAGAGATCTTCCCTAAATCTCCTGTGAGTATTCAATATCTATTTTTAAAAATTTACTCTCTTCTTTGATATATGTAAGCAATTTGTTTATAGCATATGTTTGTGCAGTGTTAGATTCTTTCTTCTGGTAATCATTTTAATTCCTGCTAGGTGTGTCTGAGTTAGCCAAACTTTAAATATTGGCTAACAATGGGAACTTAGCCTCGCAATGTAAGAACTTGCTGCAAAGTAATTTTGCTCAGCGTGATAATCCATCACTAGTGCTATAGCCTTTTCATATTTAGAGAATAAGACTTTCTCTTTTGTTAACTATGCGCTTATTTTTGACTTATAAGTCTTGGTCTGGCTGTTTGTCATGAGAAGTAGAATTATTGCTCCTATTTTGAAAAGGCATTTTGACCTCTAGTCTGGATCATCAAATGAAGAAGGAAAGAAGATTGAGTTTTTTTTTTTTGGAATGTGTAATGGATAAATTAGGTTGATTAAGAATAAATATGAAGTATTTAACACACTCCAAGATCAAATGGGCTTTACATCTTTTGTCTTACAGTGTGGCTCTTTTCTAGATGTTTGTTAACTCATTTCATGGACAAGCATAATTCAAACAATGTTGCGTTAGTGTTTATTGCTTATGATCTTTTGATGTTGTATCTGAAACTCCTATATTGATTTCAAAAGTATCTAGAATACTGAAGTTCGAAGTCTTGAGATATATTGCAGGATAGCCCTCCAAATGATAGGAAAATTGTCAAATTATGTGAATATGCTGCCAAAAATCCCTTTCGAATCCCAAAGGTAATTTTCCTTGTATCCTTTTAAAGTATTAACAGACAAGTGTTAGGGGGCTAGCCTTCAAATTAGTGTATGCACCACTGAGATACTGCTGATACTCTGTTTTTAATAGATTGCAAAACATCTTGAGGAAAGGTGCTACAAAGAACTGCGATCAGAGCACATCAAACTAATCAATATTGTTACAGAGGCTTACAATAAGATGCTTTGCTTTTGTAAGGAGCAGATGTAAGTCAAACTTATTCTTCCATTTTTTTTGTTTGTGTTTTTCATTTTATTGCTAAATTGCTATATTAGATGTGTGTATTTAAAAATTTATAGTGCTTTGTACATAATATTGCTTTTTTCAGGTTACACTGCACCCTTGGTTCCACTTAGCTAGGAAATTTTTAATTGCATTCCACATTTCGTTTGTTATGTGAAGTTTTCTGCTTTGTTAATATACAAGTCCACCAATAAAAGAAGAATGCTTGGTATTTGAGTAATAGTACTTGTGCATTTATGCGTGACTGTGTTTGTTTTTATTTGATGAGTCTTTTTTTATTCTTATCAACAAAAAGGTGTGACGATTTGTTTTACATGATTAGTTCTAGGTATTAGATTTAATTTTTCAAGTGTGCAGGGCATATTTTGCTTTAAGTTTGCTGAATGTGGCTAATGAACTGCTGGACAACTCTAAGCAAGATGCTGTTCAGATACTTGGATGCCAAACTTTGACAAGGTTCATTTATGGTCAGGTAAATTGAATTATGACCTCCTTTCTTTGGAATGAGCTGCAGCACGTGTCAAACAGAATAACCGTATTGATGAGTCTAATCCTTTGCTTTGTATATTGAGCAATATTGTAGTTTGTTTACTTTGTATACATATATGATTCTCAACTATACTAATTGACATTAACTAGCATTACTTTTATTATACTTTGGTTTGTTGTATGAACAGGCAGATGGCACTTACACACATAACATTGAAAGTTTTGTGCACAAAGTATGTAAGCTGGCACGTGACCATGGGGTGGAAGATCAAAGGCATGGTTTAAGGGCCTCAAGCTTGCAGTGCATTTCAGCCATGGTATTTTAGTGAAAAGAATACTACTATTATTTTCACCAACATTTTTCTTGTTGATATTGTATGTAGTAAAATTTGAATTTGGATATTGTTATTTACTCTTTTCTTTTTGGGAGCTGTGCGATATATATTTGATACTCTTGTCCCTTGCTAGTTGTGGTTCATGGCAGAGTTCTCCTGCATTTTTGCTGATTTTGATGAGGTTAGTATGTTTTATTTACTTAGTTCAAAGCTAGTTAATGTTACTATGGAGTTTCTGTTAGCTTCTACTATTGATTTGGTGAACAAAATGTCTGTCGTTGATATTCTACTTGAGCATTGCTGTCTTTTACTGTAATTGAGGAATAAGCTTTGGTTTCTTGAATATCCGAACTGCAGATTGTGAACGCGATATTAGATAACTATGTGCCAGATACTGAAAGTGCATATGATGATGAGAGAGGGGAGCCACATCATAATTGGGTGGACGAAGTGGTTAGATGTGAGGGCAAAGGTGCAGGTGGTGGTGGTGATACTAGTCCCAGTGGCATGATGATCAGGCCTCGTCCAGAGAGAAAAGATCCTACTCTTTTGACAAGGTAGAGCTTGCTTGGGTGGCTTTGGAGGGACACTTTTGGACTCTATTCTGTATTTCTAGTTCTTGGGTTTGGATCATCAAGGGATTTATATCCTTTTTCTAATTACTTGTTATTTTTGTTGCAGTGAAGAGGTGGAGACACCTAAAGTATGGGCACAAATTTGTGTTCAGAGAATGGTTGAATTGACCAAGGAGAGTACAGCTATGCGCAGGGTATTGGATCCAATGTTCATATACTTCGATTCTAGACGTCACTGGGTTCCGCAGCAAGGGTTGGCCTTGATTGTTTTGTCTGATATGGCCTATCTGATGGAGACTTTGGGTATGGTTGCTTATCATTTAATTTATTTTGCTAAATTGTTGTTTTATGTTGTGCAAACTTGCAAATGTAACCTTTCGTGGACCTTTTTTTTTTTTTTCTTTTTCTCAAAAAGATTTTCCAAATTATCTAATAGCATTGTGCAATTAGATGTATGTGCTTGCTAATATTACTTTTGACTTCAGGGAATCAGCAGTTGATTTTAGCTGCTGTGATACGCCATCTGGACCACAAAAATGTTGTGCATGATCCCGAACTTAAGTCTCAGGTCATACAAGTTGCTTCATCTCTAGCTAGGCAAATTAGATCAGGAGCAGTGCTGGCAGAAATTGGTTTTGTCAGTGATCTGTGCAGGCATTTGAGGAAAAGTTTTCAAGCCACTGTTGAATCAGCTGGAGAACAAGAATCAACTTTGAATATCTCACTCCAGAACGCTATTGAAGATTGCTTACTTGAAATAGCTAAAGGGGTAACTTCAAAACTTTTTATGGTACATGTATTTGGGAGTTTCTTACTGTTTTTGTAATTTTCTTGAGTTTGTGTTTGCTTTTACTAGATTGGTGATACGCGGCCACTATTTGACATGATGGCAATAACATTGGAGAAACTTCCATCAGCTGGAGTTGTTGCTCGAGCAACCATTGGATCATTGATGATTCTTGCTCATGTGATTTCTTTAGCATCAATATCTTCTCGTTCACAGAAGGTGAGATGAGTTTAATATAATTTTGATACACCTTTGTGTACTGTTGTTTACTGGGGGCCGTTTGCCTCATAGGACCCATCTGTTTTCCATTTAGGTTCAAGATAACATGAAATTTTAATCATCAGTTTGATGATTCTGATGGTATAATGGAGATCTCATGTTTGATAGAAAAATAACTTAACTCTTTCTTTAGACATGAAACCCTAACAGCATGTGGACTTTTCCTCCACTTTGTTCCCCAACTGGTAGAAAAGAGAGTCCACTCATTAATCTTGCAGCCTTTTTGGAAGATTTGCATTGAAGATAATTGTCTTCTTATTTTTAAGTTGCTCTTTTTCTTGGTTACAGCTCACTTAACTTTTTAAAATATTTTTAACTAGGTGTTTCCAGAAGTGCTTCTTGCTCAAATTTTGAAAGTAATGCTGCATCCAAATGTTGAGACACGTGTTGGAGCTCACCAGATATTTTCAGTTCTTCTCTTCCCAAGTTCTAATCATCAGCGACAGACAGTTGCATCTCTGCGATCTGGTTATCTCTATGAACCACGAAAATGGCATTCTAATACAGCATCTACATCTACTTCAATTTCAGCTCTACTTGAAAAGCTCCGGAAAGATAAAAATGTAATCAAAATGGGAAAGAATGGATATAATGTACCTGATGATATTAAAGGAAGGGACTTTGTGGAAGATGACTGGAAGCAGGGCCACACCCGCAAGAGTTCTCCTAACTTTTACAAATTAAGTTCTATTATTGACGGGAAAGCTGGAGCAACTAACTTGGCTGATGCGGTATGAAAATTTTCATGTTTTTATGAGTGCAACATGTGCATGAATGAATGTATAGTTGCATTCAATTTACCAAGTCATTAACACTATAAATCTGTTTTATTGATCACACAGGAACCGTATGTTATGAAGTTTAGTGAGGATCAGATAATGCAGCTGCTGTCTGCCTTTTGGGTTCAAGCCACTCTTCCTGATAACGTGCCTTCAAATATTGAAGCTATAGCTCATTCTTTCATCTTAACACTTATTTCTGTACGCTTGAAGGTGAAATTTCAAACATATACATGTCTGTCTTGGATTCTTCTTTCCTGTATTATCCCCTTCTCTATCTATCTATAAATATCACTGTTGACAGTTTCATGAACATGTGATGTTGCAGAACCCAAATGACAATCTTGTGGTACGCTTCTTCCAGCTTCCTCTGTCTCTCAGGAGCTTATCCTTGGACCCTAACAATGGTATATGCATTTTATTATACCTCCTTAGTTAGAATTCTAAAATTTGAAACTAATAGATTACTGCTTGTCAGGGATGTTGCCTTCGGTGTGCCAGAGATCAATCCTTGTTCTGTCAACAGGCATGCTGATGTTTGCGGCCAAAATATTTAACATTCCTGATCTGAATGATTTGTTCAAGACCTTAATTCCTCATGATGTGAGTGTTACCTGCATTTATTACAGATTGTTTTTACACATTTTCCTGTGTTATTAGTAGAGTGCACCTTTATGATCCACTAGCAGCCCTTGTAAAAGAGACGTTTAATCTGCTTCTGCAGTTGATATGCTTTTTATAAATAACTTATTGACCTTAAATTTTCTACAAATTCAGCTTGATCCCTATCTGGGCATCAGTGATGACCTTCAAGTATATGTAAAGCCTCAGGCAGATGTGAGAGGATATGGATCCTATTCTGATAATCAACTGGCCACCTCAATACTCTTTGAGTTACGGAACAAGATGCATGAGTCTGACAAGGCCATACTGGATGTGATAACTCAGAATTTGTCAACCATAACTGAGGTATGCCCTGTTGATAGGCTGCTATATCCTCCTCTCTTTCACTTTCTCTTTTAGCTGACATTAGTCTATGCTTTTTAAGTTGGAGGCAGCTGAGCTGGCAAGACAACTTTCAGAACCATTCACACCGGATGATGCATTCGTGTTTGGCTCGCGAACAACACTTGCCATAAACCACAATCAGATGATTTCCCCTTCGGAATCACTCTCGTTTGATGAGGTACTCTTTTTAGTTAATTTTAATGTGTGCCTCTGGCTGATGTGAATAACCTGAGTAAATGTTCTTGCCTTTAGACTTCTGTCCTTATTCTAGGCAGGGAAAAAAGTTATCGTCTTAAAAAAAGTCTTTGTGGTGTATCAACTGAAGAAAACTCTAAAAAATTAATTTCCCTTCGGTATGAAATAATCATTTCTAACCAGCCAACTGTTGGGAGTGTCTGCTCTATATGCCTCAATGTGGAAAGTGGGAAAAGAAAGATTAGACATGAAGAAACTGAGATCATTCAATTTCTCTTTAATTTGTGTGTTGTAGGATGTTACATCGACTCTCCTGGCTGAGGATGATGCCATAAGTGAAACATCTGTTGCTGACCTTTCTCGCTTCATTCCCAAAGTGCCTCCATCTCCTTCTATCTCCCACATTATCAGCATTGGACAGCTTATGGAATCAGTAAACTCTCTTCCTGGCATTACCACTAAACTTATGTTAAGAGATATAGATATTAGCACGTTTGTCCTATCGTATATTAACATAATGAACACGTTTTTCAGGCACTTGAGGTAGCTGGTCAAGTGGCAGGATCAACCATCTCTACATCACCCCTTCCATACAACACATTGACTGGCCATTGTGAAGCACTGGGCTCTGGCACAAGGCAGAAGCTATCCAATTGGTTGGTCCACGAAAATCACTATGCCAGAGCTTCCGACAAACCTTCATTTCCTGCAAATGAATGCTTAGCTCTCAAGAAGGTCAACATCAGTTCCCTGAAGTCATCTTAAACACGAATTCCTCTTTCTCCTGACCAGCATTTGCTTGTGTTATGCAGATTATGAGCGAGGATGAACCTGTTCAAGGAGCCATGATGGTGCAGAAGCCATGGCTGGCGATGAAGCTGCCTCCTGCAAGCCCTTTTGACAACTTCCTGAAAGCAGCTAGATGTTAAAATAAAGACTGGAAGTGAGAAGGCACCCCACATACATAAAAATCTGTCAGTGTTTTGTAAAGTGTTAGGCAGTGATCTAGAAGTTGTGTACTCTTGTAGAGGGTGTAGTTTAGGACCTTTAGGTTTATGCTTTGTTTTTAGTTGGACTTGGTTAAACATTTGAGGGCTTGGAGTTGGAGGATGCCCACCTGTTCCGCAGCAAGGGTTGGCCTTGATTGTTTTGTCTGATATGGCCTATCTGATGGAGACTTTGGGTATGGTTGCTTATCATTTAATTTATTTTGCTAAATTGTTGTTTTATGTTGTGCAAACTTGCAAATGTAACCTTTCGTGGACCTTTTTTTTTTTTTTCTTTTTCTCAAAAAGATTTTCCAAATTATCTAATAGCATTGTGCAATTAGATGTATGTGCTTGCTAATATTACTTTTGACTTCAGGGAATCAGCAGTTGATTTTAGCTGCTGTGATACGCCATCTGGACCACAAAAATGTTGTGCATGATCCCGAACTTAAGTCTCAGGTCATACAAGTTGCTTCATCTCTAGCTAGGCAAATTAGATCAGGAGCAGTGCTGGCAGAAATTGGTTTTGTCAGTGATCTGTGCAGGCATTTGAGGAAAAGTTTTCAAGCCACTGTTGAATCAGCTGGAGAACAAGAATCAACTTTGAATATCTCACTCCAGAACGCTATTGAAGATTGCTTACTTGAAATAGCTAAAGGGGTAACTTCAAAACTTTTTATGGTACATGTATTTGGGAGTTTCTTACTGTTTTTGTAATTTTCTTGAGTTTGTGTTTGCTTTTACTAGATTGGTGATACGCGGCCACTATTTGACATGATGGCAATAACATTGGAGAAACTTCCATCAGCTGGAGTTGTTGCTCGAGCAACCATTGGATCATTGATGATTCTTGCTCATGTGATTTCTTTAGCATCAATATCTTCTCGTTCACAGAAGGTGAGATGAGTTTAATATAATTTTGATACACCTTTGTGTACTGTTGTTTACTGGGGGCCGTTTGCCTCATAGGACCCATCTGTTTTCCATTTAGGTTCAAGATAACATGAAATTTTAATCATCAGTTTGATGATTCTGATGGTATAATGGAGATCTCATGTTTGATAGAAAAATAACTTAACTCTTTCTTTAGACATGAAACCCTAACAGCATGTGGACTTTTCCTCCACTTTGTTCCCCAACTGGTAGAAAAGAGAGTCCACTCATTAATCTTGCAGCCTTTTTGGAAGATTTGCATTGAAGATAATTGTCTTCTTATTTTTAAGTTGCTCTTTTTCTTGGTTACAGCTCACTTAACTTTTTAAAATATTTTTAACTAGGTGTTTCCAGAAGTGCTTCTTGCTCAAATTTTGAAAGTAATGCTGCATCCAAATGTTGAGACACGTGTTGGAGCTCACCAGATATTTTCAGTTCTTCTCTTCCCAAGTTCTAATCATCAGCGACAGACAGTTGCATCTCTGCGATCTGGTTATCTCTATGAACCACGAAAATGGCATTCTAATACAGCATCTACATCTACTTCAATTTCAGCTCTACTTGAAAAGCTCCGGAAAGATAAAAATGTAATCAAAATGGGAAAGAATGGATATAATGTACCTGATGATATTAAAGGAAGGGACTTTGTGGAAGATGACTGGAAGCAGGGCCACACCCGCAAGAGTTCTCCTAACTTTTACAAATTAAGTTCTATTATTGACGGGAAAGCTGGAGCAACTAACTTGGCTGATGCGGTATGAAAATTTTCATGGTTTTATGAGTGCAACATGTGCATGAATGAATGTGTAGTTGCATTCAATTTACCAAGTCATTGACACTATAAATCTGTTTTATTGATCACACAGGAACCATATGTTATGAAGTTTAGTGAGGATCAGATAATGCAGCTGCTGTCTGCCTTTTGGGTTCAAGCCACTCTTCCTGATAACGTGCCTTCAAATATTGAAGCTATAGCTCATTCTTTCATCTTAACACTTATTTCTGTACGCTTGAAGGTGAAATTTCAAACATATACATGTCTGTCTTGGATTCTTCTTTCCTGTATTATCCCCTTCTCTATCTATCTATAAATATCACTGTTGACAGTTTCATGAACATGTGATGTTGCAGAACCCAAATGACAATCTTGTGGTTCGCTTCTTCCAGCTTCCTCTGTCTCTCAGGAGCTTATCCTTGGACCCTAACAATGGTATATGCATTTTATTATAGCTCCTTAGTTAGAATTCTAAAATTTGAAACTAATAGATTACTGCTTGTCAGGGATGTTGCCTTCGGTGTGCCAGAGATCAATCCTTGTTCTGTCAACAGGCATGCTGATGTTTGCGGCCAAAATATTTAACATTCCTGATCTGAATGATTTGTTCAAGACCTTAATTCCTCATGATGTGAGTGTTACCTGCATTTATTACACTGTTTTTACGCGTTTTTCTGTGTTATTAGTAGAGTGCACCTTTATGATCCACTAGCAGCCCTTGTAAAAGAGACATTTAATCTGCTTCTGCAGTTGATATGCTTTTTATAAATAACTTATTGACCTTAAATTTTCTACAAATTCAGATTGATCCCTATCTGGGCATCAGTGATGACCTTCAAGTATATGTAAAGCCTCAGGCAGATGTGAGAGGATATGGATCCTATTCTGATAATCAACTGGCCACCTCAATACTCTTTGAGTTACGGAACAAGATGCATGAGTCTGACAAGGCCATACTGGATGTGATAACTCAGAATTTGTCAACCATAACTGAGGTATGCCCTGTTGATAGGCTGCTATATCCTCCTCTCTTTCACTTTCTCCTTTAGCTGACATTAGTCTATGCTTTTTAAGTTGGAGGCAGATGAGCTGGCAAGACAACTTTCAGAACCATTCACACCGGATGATGCATTCGTGTTTGGCTCGCGAACAACACTTGCCATAAACCACAATCAGATGATTTCCCCTTCGGAATCACTCTCGTTTGATGAGGTACTCTTTTTAGTTAATTTTAATGTGTGCCTCTGGCTGATGTGAATAACCTGAGTAAATGTTCTTGCCTTTGGACTTCTGTCCTTATTCTAGGCAGGGAAAAAAGTTATCGTCTTAAAAAAAGTCTTTGTGGTGTATCAACTGAAGAAAACTCTAAAAAATTAATTTCCCTTCGGTATGAAATAATCATTTCTAACCAGCCAACTGTTGGGAGTGTCTGCTCTATATGCCTCAATGTGGAAAGTGGGAAAAGAAAGATTAGACATGAAGAAACTGAGATCATTCAATTTCTCTTTAATTTGTGTGTTGTAGGATGTTACATCGACTCTCCTGGCTGAGGATGATGCCATAAGTGAAACATCTGTTGCTGACCTTTCTCGCTTCATTCCCAAAGTGCCTCCATCTCCTTCTATCTCCCACATTATCAGCATTGGACAGCTTATGGAATCAGTAAACTCTCTTCCTGGCATTACCACTAAACTTATGTTAAGAGATATAGATATTAGCACGTTTGTCCTATCGTATATTAACATAATGAACACGTTTTTCAGGCACTTGAGGTAGCTGGTCAAGTGGCAGGATCAACCATCTCTACATCACCCCTTCCATACAACACATTGACTGGCCATTGTGAAGCACTGGGCTCTGGCACAAGGCAGAAGCTATCCAATTGGTTGGTCCACGAAAATCACTATGCCAGAGCTTCCGACAAACCTTCATTTCCTGCAAATGAATGCTTAGCTCTCAAGAAGGTCAACATCAGTTCCCTGAAGTCATCTTAAACACGAATTCCTCTTTCTCCTGACCAGCATTTGCTTGTGTTATGCAGATTATGAGCGAGGATGAACCTGTTCAAGGAGCCATGATGGTGCAGAAGCCATGGCTGGCGATGAAGCTGCCTCCTGCAAGCCCTTTTGACAACTTCCTGAAAGCAGCTAGATGTTAAAAGGAAGACTGGAAGTGAGAAGGCACCCACATACATAAAAACCTGTCAGTGTTTTGTAAAGTGTTAGGCAGTGATTTAGAAGTTGTGTACTCTTGTAGAGGGTGTAGTTTAGGACCTTTAGGTTTATGCTTTGTTTTTAGTTGGACTTGGTTAAACATTTGAGGGCTTGGAGTTGGAGGATGCCCACCTAATCCTTTGTATTGTATGCAATTATCACCATCTTATCTTTATATAAGCATAGCCATTAGCATTTGATGTTTCTCTTGTGTTCTTCCCTCTGGTGTTTATATTTTTAACTTCTTACTACATCTATGTGCCGATCATCGGTGAGCGTATAGTCTCGATTCTCTAGCATTTAATTTTAGAGATTATGAAGTTGGTATCGGGCATTCGAGCATTCACCTTTGATTTGCACGTTAAAAACTTTGATTCGTACATTAAGTTAAAAATTTAAGATTTACATAATCACGTATTAATTATGTAAAAGAATAATTTTAAAATGAAGTATTATACATTAAATAATCTTTTCGAAGCGTAATAATGAATGATAATAATAATGCATTCTCTCGACGATTAGTAAGAGATAATTATTGAAAGTTTATCTGATTATTAATTTTAGAGTTTAGAAAAATTAGTTGAAATATGCGTAAATTAACTTAGATATCTTGAGATTAAAAAAAAAGAAAAAATAATAATAATGCGTTCACACTAAAAGAAAAAGAAAAATGTGTGGCGCACGTTAAACGATTAAATACTAAGATACTCTATATGCGCCAGGCGCAATTCAAATCGTCTTCTTTATTCATTTCGGTTGAGTTGATTTCTTTCTTTCGCTAAACCTCAGCTAAAACTTTCAGCTCGAAACTTACTCCGAGGATGGCCCAATCATGTGTTGCCACGTCATCTTCAATCAGCGTCTTTGGCTCTCTCTTCCATAACTCTCGAACAGATTCTCACTCTCACTCTCTCCCTCTTCGCTTCAATCCACTGCGTCTCAGGTTTTTTTTTTTCCTTCATATGTTCTGTTTGGTTTCCTAAAACTGAAAGAAACGAAACGAAAATAAAAAAAATCAAAATTTTAGTTTCTTTTTTTCTTTTACGTTGTTTGTTATTGGGAAAATTTGGAAAAAAAAGGTTAAATTTTATTATTATTATTATTATTTTATTTTTAATTTTGATGTATTCTTAGGAAATCAATTGTATCAAGCAACAGAGGAAATAAATTTGTAACTCATGAAGTGAAAGCGATGTTATCAAGTGGGTTTTCAACTATTGAAGACTATGAAAGTTCCTGGCGAGGGATTTGGTCTATAAGGTAAATTTTTTTATGTGAAAATTCAAGTGTGGTATGCGGAATTATTAGAGTTTTCCGTTGTCGAAAATGTTGTAAGTTTAGCTGTGGATGACTAGGTGAGAACTTAGAGAAGATGTTTGAAATTGTGTATGCCATGCTGTTTGTATAGTGTTAGATTGACTAGAGTGAAAGCACGGATGTACTCCCCGAAGAAGATGGTAGAGGGTAGGAACTTGCTTATGGGAAATGCATTGACGGNTTATTATTATTATTTTATTTTTAATTTTGATGTATTCTTAGGAAATCAATTGTATCAAGCAACAGAGGAAATAAATTTGTAACTCATGAAGTGAAAGCGATGTTATCAAGTGGGTTTTCAACTATTGAAGACTATGAAAGTTCCTGGCGAGGGATTTGGTCTATAAGGTAAATTTTTTTATGTGAAAATTCAAGTGTGGCATGCGGAATTATTAGAGTTTTCCGTTGTCGAAAATGTTGTAAGTTTAGCTGTGGATGACTAGGTGAGAACTTAGAGAAGATGTTTGAAATTGTGTATGCCATGCTGTTTGTATAGTGTTAGATTGACTAGAGTGAAAGCACGGATGTACTCCCCGAAGAAGATGGTAGAGGGTAGGAACTTGCTTATGGGAAATGCATTGACGGATGTTGTATTTATCGAGTTTCAGTCATATGTTGTTTGCGCTGTAGGAAAATGTAGTTGAAGAGTAAAATAGAGATATGGTTTTCTATTGGTTTTATGTTTCTCGTTATAAAGTCCTAATTTTGAAATTTATTGGAACAGGAGGTTTGAATGTTGTTCTTCTTGTGTATTCTCTTAGCTAGTGCTAAATGTTTGTGTGTTGGTCTTACAGAAATGATCTGGAAGTTCCATCTTCACCTTATACTCCTACTTATGCACAAGGAGGGCAGGGGCCTTCTCCAGTGGTGCATGAGCGTTTTCAAAGCGTGCTCACCCAGCTCTTTCAACATGTAAGCATTAGGCATTGATTTCACTGGGATTATTTGGATTGAATTTTGAACTGATTATAATGCTACCAGAAAATTTAGTTTATTGATATATCACTGATTTTTAGAGGATCATTCGTTGTGGAGGACCAGTTGATGATGATATGGCAAACATTATTGTGTCTCAACTCCTCTATCTTGATGCTTTGGATCCTAACAAGGTTAGTGTTGTTGCTTTCTTTTTCCTTTTCTTTTTTTGCATGGGTAAATCATAGTGTATGACCTTTTGAGACAGTTGATTTCAAAAGCCACCCGATGGCAGCCAAAATTTGGTTAGATTTTATTTCAGAATAGGCCACACTCCAAAAATTTACACTTATTTCTAGGGTAAATCGAAGAACATGAATATGGGTAATTGTCTGTTATAAATCACCACAAGAAAACCCTTTTAAAGTAATCTTTTACATCATTTACTCTTCTCTGTTTTTACCTAGTTATATTTTTCACCATTGGAAAACTGTCTTTTAGCTATATTTTACATCAATACTCTTTTATTTTTTTCCTTATAACATTTCATTATCTGTTTTCCCTACCCCCACCACAAGTTTTAACTATGCATTTTGTAGTGTTTCTCCAACTAATGAACGTCTCGTCTTTTTATTAGGATATTATCATGTATGTCAACTCTCCAGGAGGATCAGTAACAGCTGGTAATGTATATATTCTGATTGCTTAATCATTCCTTATTTAAAGTTTGAGTAACTGAGAACTACATAATTTACCAATTTTTTTCTGAATTGCTTCAATAGGTATGGCCATATTTGATACCATGAGGCACATAAGACCTGATGTTTCCACTGTATGTGTTGGACTGGCTGCCAGGTAAATAAAAGTAACCAAAAATTTATGAGCTTTTCTGTCGGAATTCATATCTAGGGCCTAGCATAGTGTATTTTGTACTCTTCTCATGTAAATAATCAATAAGCAAGGTATATATGCTGCTTCAAATACTTGCGAGACTGATCTCACAACTAATTTTCTTTCTTATGACAGTATGGGCGCATTTCTGCTTAGTGGTGGCACCAAAGGTAAAGCTGTTTCTGTATTTTGTCTTTTGGCTTGGTTTCTATGATTTGTTTTTATTTCTTGTGTGAAAGTCTTTCTTTGTAACTTATTCTTAGTATGTGATTTCACTAATTTGCTTCAACTTTCTTCTTTGGAAATTCTAAATATGAAGGAAAAAGATACAGTCTGCCAAACTCAAGGATAATGATCCATCAGCCTCTTGGTGGGGCACAAGGAGGGCAAAGTGATGTTGACATACAGGTATCTTTTGTCCTCGTTTGCATCTTGGCAATCCTAGTTTCATGCATTTGGTTTTCCTTATGGTGTATTTATATCTAATCAAAATTAATTTTTGCTTGCCATTGCCCAGGNTATACTCTTTTATTTTTTTCCTTATAACATTTCATTATCTGTTTTCCCTACCCCCACCACAAGTTTTAACTATGCATTTTGTAGTGTTTCTCCAACTAATGAACGTCTCGTCTTTTTATTAGGATATTATCATGTATGTCAACTCTCCAGGAGGATCAGTAACAGCTGGTAATGTATATATTCTGATTGCTTAATCATTCCTTATTTAAAGTTTGAGTAACTGAGAACTACATAATTTACCAATTTTTTTCTGAATTGCTTCAATAGGTATGGCCATATTTGATACCATGAGGCACATAAGACCTGATGTTTCCACTGTATGTGTTGGACTGGCTGCCAGGTAAATAAAAGTAACCAAAAATTTATGAGCTTTTCTGTCGGAATTCATATCTAGGGCCTAGCATAGTGTATTTTGTACTCTTCTCATGTAAATAATCAATAAGCAAGGTATATATGCTGCTTCAAATACTTGCGAGACTGATCTCACAACTAATTTTCTTTCTTATGACAGTATGGGCGCATTTCTGCTTAGTGGTGGCACCAAAGGTAAAGCTGTTTCTGTATTTTGTCTTTTGGCTTGGTTTCTATGATTTGTTTTTATTTCTTGTGTGAAAGTCTTTCTTTGTAACTTATTCTTAGTATGTGATTTCACTAATTTGCTTCAACTTTCTTCTTTGGAAATTCTAAATATGAAGGAAAAAGATACAGTCTGCCAAACTCAAGGATAATGATCCATCAGCCTCTTGGTGGGGCACAAGGAGGGCAAAGTGATGTTGACATACAGGTATCTTTTGTCCTCGTTTGCATCTTGGCAATCCTAGTTTCATGCATTTGGTTTTCCTTATGGTGTATTTATATCTAATCAAAATTAATTTTTGCTTGCCATTGCCCAGGCTTAGCTTTTTAAGCTAGAAAACTTATAATTGCCTATTGGAATTGATCAATGGAAATAAACTAGGTTCTCTATTGTAGGAATATGATGATATATTTGATAGGCATCAATAAAAATTTCATTATTTTCTTGGATCAATTAAAATTTCTACTGACCAACCTCCAATTATAATTGCTTCCAGGCAAATGAAATGCTACATCACAAAGCGAACTTAAATGGGTATCTCTCTTACCATACTGGTCAAAGTCTTGAGAAGATTAACCAGGACACTGACCGTGATTTCTTCATGAGTGCGCAAGAAGCCAAAGACTATGGGCTTATAGATGGTGTCATCATGAACCCCAATAAAGTTCTCCAGCCAATAGCAGCTTCAGCAGATCAGTGAATAAGTAATTTAACTTTTCGACGTCAACCATGTAATTGTAGCTCTCCTAAAGTTATTTTAGTTATAGCTTTTCCTATTTGATGATCATGTTTGAGTGGTAGAATCCATACTGCTAGTTTCATGTACAAGTGATGATCAAATACAGTTTTGGCACAGAAGGAAATACAATAACAACTTTAGTTGTAATGACGATTTAGCTTGCAGAACAAATCAATTTTGAAAAATCTTGTGTTGCTTGGAAAGTATATTTTTTCCGTTTGATGATGGACAGCCATATTGAACAAAAAGTCGATTGAAATGCATCTGTTCTTTTATTTTTTTCTGCTATTAAATGCAGAAAGCTTTCTCAAGTGCAATTCTCTTATGAACATATGTTGGAATGTAAAAGTTATCTTGCTAAATGTTAGACGTTTCTTCAAATTTAATGTTCCCCAAGTTTGGCTGAACTTAATTTGTCTTAACATGAAATCACTATAGCTAGGAGCAAATTATTGGGATCTTAAAGTTCTTTTCAGGAACTTTGAATTGAATGGAGTGTGCTTTCTTTTAATTTGTGTGATTGGAAACATTAACTAGTTATTGGTAGCCAGTTACAAAGCACTGTTATTTTTGTTTCATAAGAGACCCTCCATTGCACCTTGTTGAAAACTGGAAATTCCCCAGCTCATTGAATTGCAGTCTAGACATATCACAACATCTACAGGCTATAACACACATGGCCCATTTAATGAGAAGGTTTGGTGCCTGCCTGGTGGCTTCACCAATCATTCTTCCCATGACCCTCTTATTGTAAGTTTTTGCTTCCAATTATACCCCATTTTCTATTTTTTTCACTTGTTAAAATTGTCATCTACTGGTCAAAAGTTTCTTAGATTAGAGCAGAATTTACCTATCAAACTTTGAAGCTTTTGATCCAAACAACTATTTAACCCATATTGTTGACTTTAGAACAGGAGGTTTTTTTTTTTTTTTTGGCTAAGAATACTATCCCATAAAATCATTTTCTACAAAAGCACTTCTAGAGGCTGCCTAAAATGTTCAATGATAGTGGACCAGGTAAGGCCAAAAACAACCCCATTAAGCTAGGGTATGGTCTTATCAGCCTAGAGACTTGAATTAATGTTCATGTTTTCCCTTGGTGAGGAATTCGCTGGATCCCTAGCTTCTCAACTGCCTTCACTATTGATACTGTGTTTTGTGGCCTCCCTCTGTCTTTGAGCATGTGGTAGGGCCAATTTCAGAATTCTTGGGCCAAGTTTCTTGACTAAGCAAAATAGTCAATAAAGATAAAATATGCATTCATACATATGTGAGAATAAAACCATATAACATATGCAGTTACAGTAATGCTACAGTTTACCGAAAAAAATATACCAAATTCATGCATTGAAAAACATATACCGAATTCATGCACTGACAGACGTGACACCATCCTCTTTTCTTAAAACAATTTTATAATTAATGGACAGTCAAGATAGTGTCACATCTAGTGCGTGAATTCGATGTATTTTTTCGATAACTATCATTTTTCATGCAGTTATTTCTCCTTCTTCCACTTAACAAAGTTATGATGAGTTATTTTTCAAAATTAATAACCGTTACACTTTGCTCAGATCATAATGTACCAAAGAGAGTGACCTTGCCAATAAATGTTACATAAAATGAGGTAAGAGCATGTAAAAATCTCACTGCACTGATATATAAATGTAAAATCTCCTATCTCCTTTGTTTCTTTAGAAGAGATGCAGCACGCAGAAACATCTGATCAACTTCATCAAAATTTGGTGAGTCTACATCTTTTTGTAATGATTTTGCAGCCCTGGAGTTAACAGATATTTGACGCAAATGCTCCTCAAAGTCTTCAGGTTCCTCATCATTTTCTGCTGGAAATTTGTCAAAATTGTCCAAATAAAGTGGTCGTTGCGCCTTCTCATCTTTCTCCGTGTCAGAGTCCGTCTCAAAAATATCCGACAAATCTTCAGAATCTGAACCCATTAATGAATCCATTTCAGGATCATCTTTGGAAGATTCCTTCATACTTGGAACGCCTTCTGAATCTACACTATCTATCTCAGTGTTTTGGACATCTTCTACAACATTAACTCCTATTTCTGCTCTTCTTTCAGACTGTGCACGAAGCAGTTCAAGGCCCTGCTCTAATTTTGGAATATGTTTCCTAACAGCACGAAGGCCATCCCTATACTTGGATTTATCCAAAGCCTGCAAGAAAGAAATAAAAGCATAGGAACCTGATGAAATCATTGGGAAAAATTTCCAGAACCAAATAAAAGGATTGGCTTAAACCTCTTATTATTACAATAAAGACATTCCACTTAAAGCAGAAATAAATGAATGGCTAATGTACACATGAAAATAAAAATATTACTGTGGAAGTCTAACGTATTTGATTCTCATCCTCATTCATAAATGACAAATGACTAAGAAGAAGCTGAGACAAGGAAGAGAAAAACACCTTCTTTCTTGAGAGTGTGACCCTGGGTGACATTATCTCGGTTGGGGGTTGTGAATAATTCTTTCCTCTATACATAATTATTGTATTTTCTTCATGAATATCAAGAACAATTCCTCCGGTCAATCTAGCCAGCTCAGCCGCAATCTCCTTAACCTCCTCTGCCGAGAATGTCTTTACCACCACCTTCAGAGTCTGATGTTTCTTCCAGTGCAGATGCATATTCAGAATTACACCCTGGTATATTCCCCGTCTTCCAACAGGAACATAATTCTTACACTTAAGGCCCATCTTCAGATAGAAAAAATGTTCTTCTGGTGTTAGTATCTCTGGATCATGGGTTGTATCTGAAGATTCCTTAGGTTCAACCTTTTTCAATGCTTCAACTAGCCTTTCCTCTTTCTTTTGAGCCTAGGGAGAAAAAAACAAAAGCAGACAAAGAGAAGCTAGATAGATAAGACCATATGATAATAAAAGTTCAATCAATTGGAAAATCCAACAATTACATCCAGAAAAGAAAAATGAAAAAGAGCCAAATTCATGATAAGCGGCAACATAATATAGTTAAATATACCAGCCAGTACTATATTGCAGGTTGGAGCCATTTAAGTGAATCATAAGAGTTCTTTTAATAGATATATATACAAATACAAAATGAAATAGAAGCTAACCTTTCTCAATTTGTACAAAATTTTCTCTTCAGCTGTCATCCTTTCATACTCTTTCTTCTTCTTCCATCTAAAGAACTTTAACCACCTTACAACAGCTCGTTTTCCTTTCAGCTTCTTCCTCTTTACTTTTGCATCACCAGCAGCAGCACCAGCTTTTCCATTTTCAGGACACTTTGGTGGCTCCACAGCGTTCAGAAATGGAGCTGAATGAATCCATAGACGTCCCTCAAAGGGAAATCTTCTTAAATCATGGAGTAGTCCAAAAGAAGGTTCTTGACCAAAAGCCTTGCACATAACATCAACCAAGCTACTGCATTGTCAGACTTCAAGCAAATGCTCTTCCCATAAAAGATTGATATATAGTATGCATTCGAAAATTAACCTCGAACTGCAGAAGAATTATATGAATTCCTTATTTAAAAAATTGACCAAAAGTTTATACATATATTAGTTCTACCTTGATTCAACAACCTAAAAAGCCTTTTTCTATTACACGGTAGAACCAATATATACACTAGCATTAAATTTAGCTCAAAAAAGAAAGTATTCAAACATAAAACATGAGAATTAAAAGGTGAAAACTTCATGCTAATTATGGCCATTTTGCTATCATAAAATACTCTTATTGCTATCATGAAAATTTATTCTTTAAATCCAACATACCAAACCATCAAATTTTAACATTTTCTCCCCTTTTAATCTAGCAACTTTTGCTTACCCATCTAATTTTTCCCACAACAATCACCAACAGTGATGAAGATATTGGTTAAAGCATCTCATAGGATGACACTCTCCAAGGAGATGATATTCACATCCCAAAGTACTATAAGTGGCCAAAAGCCAAGCACTTTTGCGCTAATAGCTTAACACAAGCCAAAATGGCTTGTAACATTTATTATGATCCCAAAATCTAAGGTGAAGCAGGTGGACTATAACATTCAAAACTGACTAAAATCACAATGTGTAAAAGAGTAAAAAGTAAAAAATTGAAGAAATTAAACAACACACAAGAAACAAAGCAGAGATATTGAGAGTGAGAAAGGGAGATACCTGGTTCTGTGAAACGGGTATTTTGTAAAAATGGAAGCTTTTGAGAAGAGAATCTTCAAATTATGAGCTTTACGGACAGCCAGTGACGCTGTAGAAGAGAAATTGAAAACCCTCCCCGCCACCATTTTTTTTTTTTCTTTTTCCCCTCTGCGTCTCAATCGGTTGATACCATTTACCCACCCGGTCCGACACTGTTTATTGAACCGTTTTTAGATAACACATTGGGATGAAAAAGTTAGTTTCCAAAACCTTGGGGTGTGCCAAACCTCGGGGGCGTGAATGAAATTCCTAAAACTTAAAAAAACAAAAAGAAAAAGATAAACTATCTCTAAATATTGAAAGAGAATTTCCGGGTGGGGACTGGGGATGGGACTGCTGGGCTGGAGATGGGAGGGAGGAAATGGTGGTGTGGGCTTGAAGTTGGGATCTTTCAGGTTACAGTAACAGTACTGGAATAAGAATAACCAGTTTAACCTTACCTCTTCCCAATAAAACTTGCTCTCTTTTAATGTAGTGGAAAAAGAACAGGAAAAAATAGTACACTACGTAGACTGAAAACAGTCCACTTACAAAAAGCATGGGGCCGGGGACCCATATTTCAGTGTCTTCCCCAATGAGGAATCGAAAAGTGGAAGTTAAACTCTGTGCGGAATTTGACCTCTATATTAACGGGCCAATATTAGTTACATAAATCAAAACAACAACAATCTTATCAGAATTCTGAAACCAACCACTCATCATTCAAGCTTTTACTGTTGCAGAGCGTGCGATAACGTCCACCGTCTGAGTAGAGCTCATCCAAGCAAATATACCAATAGTCAATGCATATCTAATCCGGAAACACCTACACATCTATGACGTTGAATGTTTTGGACGATGGATTACACTATTTACATACAAGATACACAGAAAAAACGCTACTTTTAAATAACTTTTCTTATAAATTTTTTATCATAGTTCATTATTAATTAGCTCATAAATAAGCTAATGATACCAATTTTATGAACTACCTAATGACTACCTGTTATGTCAAAATTTTAAAAAAAATTTGTAAGAAAAGATTATAAATGTTACATTACTCTAAGATACTCATCATAATATGTGATATTGTGTTGATGAATTATATAATAAGATAAAGATGTCAAATGTCAACTAATAACAAACAATATATTATATATTTAGATTTTTCATTTTTTGATTTAAAAACCATATATAAGATGAATATATGGATGATTTTTTTACTAAAAGATTGATCATATGATATCATATTTCATACCTCCTCTTGTATAGGGTTTATTACAGGTTCTATGTATTTTTTTGTTGGAGCAAATCACAATATCAATAGTCACTCATGGATAAGTTTTGATTGTATGACTACGATGATATTTTGTATAAAGATTATAATTGATACTTCGATTGTATGAAAGATAAATAGATATTTGAGGGGTGGAAATGGGATAATAACAAAAGCTAGCGGTAAACCAAACGCAAACCCAACATTATCTCTCTTTCTTTCACAGTCTTTGTTTGTATGTTTGGTCTCTCTCTTCTTGGGAAAGAAAACTAAGTCTGGTCAGTATCAAGTTGAAGTTCACTGTACAGTTGTGAAAACTACTTTTCCAGTTAATTAATGTGCCCTTTTCAATCCCCTACTGCTAGCTTCTAATTCATTTACCTAACTAGGTATTCTTCACTCTCTCTCCCTCTCTCTCACTCTCGCTCTCTCAAGTCTCACCCTTTTTTGTGTTTTGCTAAATAGGACTTCACTCTTCACCGCCCTTCACTAAGCTTAAAGCTACTGTTATGGCTTCATCATCGTTATGTAATGTTTCTGATCATACATAGATCTTTAACAAAAGGGTTCTGCTCAAGTTCATAATTAGCTTCCGTTGAATCTTTGAATTAGACTTGTGTTAATTGTATGAATATTCGTTAGTTGACCTTATGGAAGACTTCCCTCGACTTGATCTTCTTCCTGTGCCATCATCATCATCATGTTCAGATCATCCTATGTTAATAAAAGTTGGAAGCAGCTTTTCTCATGGAAACTACGCTGCTAATTCTAGTAACAATTCCATGCTTCATCACCATCAATTTGATGCTACTGGATCCTCGGATATGGCCGATCTGATCAAGGCTCAAATCGCCACTCACCCCCGTTATCCAAATTTACTTTCTGCGTACATAGAATGCCAAAAGGTAAACCCTTATCACCATATATAAAGTTTTGATTCTTCTCTTATAACCTTATGCTTAAAATTTATAAAACCATGAAAGGTTGGAGCTCCCCCAGAAACGGCCTCCCTTCTTGAAGAAATGGGTCGAGAAAATTTTAGTACAACAAGAAGTTGTAGTGAAATAGGAGCTGATCCAGAGCTCGACGAGTTCATGGTATGTATAAAAATATTTACCTTTCTTTTTGTAACATTCAACGCTTGTTTGGTTCCCAAGAAACTTGACTAGATAATTAACATTATTAACTTTGATCCTTCTCAATTTACTAGGAATCATACTGTGAGATTCTTGAGAGATGTAAGGAAGAGCTATCAAAGTCGTTCAATGAAGCAAAAAACTTCCTAAACGACATCGAATCACAACTGAGTAACCTTTGTAAAGGGGAACTGACAAGAAACTTTGATTATGATCACTCTGGTAAAGTTTTAATTAATTTCACTGTTTGTGTTTTTCTTATTTCCATACATAAGTACTATTAGTTTGTGCTCTCTCTAGAACTTTTCGTTAAAAGGGTATGCAATTAATGAGCTGAAACTTGTGATACTGTGCATGTTCAGGTAAAAAAAATAGTTCTTGTGATTATATATGCAGTGTTGTGTACTGTAAAACTGTCCTCTTTCCATGTTGAGGAAAATGGCATTATTTAATTTGCATATAATGTTGTGGTAATACATGGTAAATATGTGTTCTTCAAAAAATGGCATGATATGAGTGATTTGAGGTTGGTGTTGAATATGACAACGATTGCACCATGAAGCTCTTCAAATTCTCATGCAGAAAGGAAATATGAGTATAATAAGAACATTAAATATCTGTTTTGGTGTGTTGAAGCTGTCATTTTTGTTGTTAATTGATTTATTCTTTGGAGGTTTATATTGAACCTTTTGGTAATGAACTTTTATTTGTGGTTTAATCTAATTAATTAAGGTCACCGAAATGCAAAAACCACCCTTGGGTGATTGGGTGAGACGATAAGGACTCTTAAGTATATTATTCAAGAGGTTTTGAATTCGATTTTCCTTGGTTGTTAATAAGGGTAGTTATTAGAGGGTATACCCAGTTGTTAACTTCAGAATCCTGGAAGATTAGTCTAGATACGCGTAAACTAATCCGAACAACCCCAATCACATGCACAAAAAATAAAAATTGCATTGCAAAGGAATGGCCCCCTTCAATTTTTTCTGATAGCCCGGTAAAGAGTACCACTTTATTGATATTGGTGATGTTAAGTTAATTTGAAACACTTCTAAAATATGTATTCATACGATATTGTAAAATAATTTAATTATAACATGATAAAGCTGTTCTAGTTGGTTGATTTATGTGAACACTATTGTAAATCTTTGGGCGAATATACAGCCATGAATTGATACTTATGAATGTTGTTCTGTTGCCACATTTTATATGCACATTGTTAATTAAACTTAAATTGAATAAGCTGTTTCAGATGATCATTCTGGCCTTGAAAATTTGAAAGTGGGTGGATATATATTGATGTATAAAATCGTATATGTTTGATGAAATTACTTTCTAATTCGATCCATCATATGTGTATCCGTTAATGGTTTTAAAGATGAAGCAGCTGGGACATCAGAGGAGGAGGAGCAAAGCTACGGCGAGACGGCAGAAGCAGCTGAATGTCAGTATCAGTCTGGTAGTGCACGCCAAGATGAACAAGAGGTTAAAGGAATGCTGATGCGCAAGTACAGTGGATATCTTGGCACTTTAAAGAAGGAATTCTTGAAGAAAAGGAAGAAGGGAAAGCTACCAAAAGTTGCCAGGATGACACTAATGGACTGGTGGAACAATCACTATAGATGGCCATATCCCACGGTAATTACAATTCATACACATATATATATATATATATATAATTAACAAGCTTCTAACTGTAATCACTATAGTTGCCGGCGTCGGAACATGTGGTGTTTTCTGATCAAATTTGTCCGTGTCAGAACAGATGTCGAAGATATAAATATAATTAACCAAGAAACCTGGAGACAATAAATGCATGTCATGTTGATTAAGGCTAACTCTATATATTTATATATGGTAACGAGAAGTTCAAATTAATGAATAATGAGTACAGCCAAGAGCCATAGCATAGAGCCAAGGCAGGCAATACAAATACAATTCAACCAGTGAGTACTGAGCTATTTTATATATGAAGGTGAAAGATTGTACTTAATGCAAAATAATTAAAACATATGGTGGGAGGAATCACATTCAACCCGAATAGAAAACCAGCTGCCCCTTGAAGCTGCAACTTCAATAGCCAAAATGGTCATCCCATCCCAAGAATTGTTTTATGTATGAACCCATAAGAGAGGAATTTAAAGGGGAAAGAGTACTTGGTACTGAGTTCAGTGCATGATTCTTTTACTCTTCCCAATATGTTAAGTGTAGTATATTTACATAGCGTGTATCCATATGTATTGGTTGGATCTCATAGTCAAATATACGATGACCTGAAAACTACATAAATGTTTAAAGTAGATCCTGAAAAGAAGATTTGATTTGATGGTACAGGAAGAGGAGAAGGTGAAACTATCAGCTGAAACTGGACTAGACCCAAAGCAAATAAACAACTGGTTCATCAATCAGAGAAAGAGGCACTGGAAACCTTCTGAAGATGTGAGATTTTCTCTCATGGAGGGTATCCCTCCAAACAATAACATTGAAGAAGCCATCTACTTAGACACTCGAGACGGAGCAAGATATTACCAAAAATAATCTCATCAATATAGATATATCTGTCCACATGTAATCTATAATTTTTTCCATATACCAGTTTGTGTAACTACTCATTTGTATAATAACTTGAATAATCACATGCGCACATGTAAGCTTTGCTTTTCTTCTTTGATTTGATACCTCAATGATTTGCTTTAATTTTTAAGTTATCAATAACCCTCTATATTTACCATTCAAAGATATGTAACTAAATTACCCTTTGGACAAAATGCTTCACCGGATCGATGATTGAATATGCATGGCCTTACTGGTCTTGAAATTTGAAGCAGTCAGCAGCCTTTTCTTTAATAATGAATGTTCAGTATTCTTACAGAATACAGAGATCGGCAACTAATTCGATTCCAAAGTATTCTCGGTACTTTTGAAATGCCTTACAATTCAACTTATTAGTTCAAGATCCAATGTTTTAACCATTGTGTTCTTGGATGCGTTGGTTAAACGGAGTGTTGGATGGCTGGCTGTGAGGCGCGAGGGTTTGCAGGTAATAAAACTAATAACACTTTTTCATGAATAAAATTTTAAAATACCATTTTATTATTTAAATTTATATTCTGTTTCTGATTTTGATATTATTACAACCTGAGATCTCATTATTCTCTTTTTCGATCATCACTTATTAAAACTCTTCAAATCCTACTTTCGTCGATCTTACCAATCGCCAATAATCAAGCGATTAGAGTTTGTACAACCATCTTTCTCAAGTCAAATTCTTATCAATCCCATCAACAAAATTCAATCTTCCACTACCAAAAGACTCATTGACCTCCCTTCTTTAAAAGCCCCAATAGTCTGAATCGAGTTTGCTCTCTGTTCGCCGCCGTAAAATAAATTTGGATAATAAAATGATATTTTAAAAGTCTGTAAGTGAGAAAGTATCATTAAACTATTATTTGGGTGGGAAAAAATCATTAACTCAAATAAAATAAGCTAAAAAGGGTTGTTCATGTGTATATATACAGATTATATATATGAAAAAAAGAAAGAAAAATGGGCAACAAAGGAAATTGATACATACTCTCTGACTCCAAATAATACAAGATTTGTTTATCTCAAGTGATAAATTGTCACATAATTACCTGAAATATATAACACCACTGTGTGAAGTAAAATAAATAGATACCGAATGAAGTAGAAATAGTTTTAAAATGGGCAACAAATCAATCGTTTCAGACTTTCAGTCTCCTTATAGAAAGACGAAAGGTCAGACATGGTTTTTACAGGTCAGATTCTGTTGCGTTTAGGGATTTGGGCTTCAAACACTGTTGTCATGAAACTTTGTTCTTGGGCTTGTGTACAGTGCAGCATTCAATGTTCAACTCTTTGTAAATGTTCTAGCAACCCAGTGCTAATCCTTATAATTTCAATGGTATCATCAAACATCATGTCTTTTCCATTAACTGGGTTCAGTTAAAATCTCAAATTAGAAAAAAAAAATATTACTACAACTGGGTTAGACTATAAGCAGAAAGTATATTATAGGTTTACTGGGAAGTTTACTCTCACGACTACTAATAAGAAGTAATTATTGGAAACTTATCTAACCGTTAACCTCAGGATCTCGGAGAATTAGTTGAAGTGCGTGTAAACTGATTTATACAACCAAAAAAAAAATTTATTGTAGGATAAATTATATGAGCAATCAATCAATTGTGAGATGCATACATGTCATGGATAACTGTTCATACAGCTGACATAGAAGGTTTTTTTGTCCTGTAAAATACATGAAGCAGCTAAGGCCAGTTGGATATGGATAGATGCTATAGTTTGGAATTTAGTATGGGAGATAAGACTTCTGCAACTGTATTATGCTATAAATGGGGCCATATACATTACTGTTTTTAATTTGTGTAATATCTAATAGATTAAAAAGAGCCTTCTTGCTACATCCAAATTTCGATTGTATCCACGAGACTCCACTGCTTTTACCTTAGCAGAACTAAAGCTTTTATGAGAAACAGAATCCAAGTTCTGAGTTCTGACAAGTGAAAATATGTACAGTCCCAGATTATGACTTACTTATGATCATGTTCATACTAGTTTCGAAATTAAATCATAGAAATTTAATTAAGGATAGAACCTTCAACCTTCTCGTTTGTGTATGATAGGGCATATCTTTCAGTATGACTAGCTACTACAGTAAAATAATTGATGTCATCCAAGAAATTAGACATGGGTCGCACAAAGTACAGCTTACTTATAGTTCGGCTAATCCTTGAGAGAGACTAACGCAGTAATTCACTGCTACGACTTCTTACTTAAATTACGAATGCTCAGATGGAGAATTGAATATGAGATTACGTGTCTATCTACACTATCTCAATTCACCTTAACTATTTGAATTACTCACAGATGGGTAATAAAAAGATTATGTTACACAGATTTTACAAAGTTTATACGTTTAATGTTACTCTTGTCACTTGTCAGCTTGTAAAGAATCTATTTATAAGGACTTCAGAGGAGCTAATTAAAGTGGCACTGTATGTATATGTTTAGCTAATGAGACTTAAACACCTGGCTAAGTTATGAATGGACAGTGGAAATTATCTCAGAATTACAAATTCTTTTGTGGGAGACTTGAATTGAAACAATTATCTGAATCGAATCAGCAGGTAGGCCTCATTCTGTCATTCATGTATACACGTATGATAGATAGAAACTTCAAGGATTGGTACATAAATCTATATATAGAGAGGCCTAAGTGATTGACAACCATCCAATATGGTTGAAGTAACCAAAGGTCGACAGAAATGACTCTAGAAATAGAATTATAATTCTATTGTTTCAAGCAACTCATCAATATCACATTAGCTGATAAAAGATCCTTATATAAATGATGACCTATCTATGCAAATTGTGGTGATTGACAAAACAAATTATAAACCACTATTAGATAGTCTGATGGTAAAAGAACAAAAGAAGTTTTCCTAAATTTTGGAGTTCGAGTCCCTTCAGGCCTTAATAGGAGTGATCACTGAAGGATTATCCAGTCGGACTTTTAAGACCTCGTAGGATTAGTTGATGTGTGTACAAACTAACCCGGACATTCTCTATCATAAAAAAAGAGAGACAAAACAGTTATATGATTCCACAACCCCACAAACAGTAGTAAGGTCTTCTCACTTGGACTTTATCTCCTTTGCTTTCTTCCTTTTAATGACTAATTCCTAACTAGTTGTTTGAGAAGCTCCATGTACACAATGTAAAAGAAACAAGAAGAAGAAGAAGAAGAAGATAGATACATGATATCAGCAAATTGATTCATGTAGCTAGCACACATGTCATCTCATCAGAGACATAGCTTGCTCAGTGTGAATGGTAGAGTGTCTTTTTCTTAACTGATTTTTGGGTTTTACAAATTTGAAGTCAATATACAAAACGTATAAGCTTTCAATTTGTACTTTCTGTTGCAAGAACAATGTACTAGATTGAGTCTATAAGAAAAAAAGAGACAGAGAGAGAGAGAGAATACTCGTTTCCTCCTTTAATCTAATTAGTATCTGGACATTTGGAGAATCAGATAGTTAAGACAATTTTGTAAAATATTGGGGTTTGTTAGCTGGACATAGCTACTTAATTCGTCAAAAACACCCAAATTGTAAAAGATGATTTCTAGATCTTATAATATATAAAGGGTCGGCATGGATCTTATCACAGTAGTCAGAAAACAGATGAAGAAACCTAAGTAGCAAGCATTATTAGATAGTTACGTGCAAGTTCATACAATTATATATCTACATTATCATAAACGAAACATGTCATGCGAAGAATTAGTACTTGATAATTAAATAAAGATGAACTTCAAGCAATTTTATTCTTGAAACATAGCTAGTAGTATTAATGTTTATTGGAACATAATTAAGAAGCAAAAACACAAAATGGTAGCGTACTTAGGTGTTAGACATGCATAACATGAACACAAATTTATCAGAAAATGAAAGGGTCCCAACAAACTGCATGAAAAGCTCATGAGAGTTGCTCCTCAACGGTCAATTCGTCAATCATGTTTCCACGGTTGAGGGGATTGAAAGCTTCAATCTCAGAGCATTTGCTAGGCAGTATTATAGGACTGCTAAGGCCACCTTGCTGCTCAAGCTGTGATGAATTTTTAGCCATTATTGGATATTTACGCGCAAGCACCACTGAATTGATAACCTCATCAGTGGGATGAAACACTGACAGAACCTCAAATTCTCGAAGCTCACAAGGATCAACCACCGGATAGAGAAAAGCTCGAGCTCCATGAGCACTCCTCAGCATCAAAAGAGCTCCAGGAGCCATGAACTTACCCAAATGATCAATGACTTTAAGCTTTTCCTCCTTGTCCATCCCCACTAGGGCCGCCAAGAAAACAACTTCAAACTCTTTCAACGCAGTTGAAACGTTTATAATATCAGTTGTGTGAAAGAACATTCGGTTTGAAAGGTCAGGATGGGGTGAAACTAAGGCATGAGCTTTGGAATTGGCTGAAGGGTCAATATCAAAGTTGTGAAAAGAGGTTTTTGTAAGATGGTTAGAGGCTAAAACAATAGAAGTCAAGGGCAGTGGACCAGAGCCAACAAAGGCAACTTTGTTGGGGACATGGGAGGAGTGTTGGGACAGAATGGAGAATTCAAGGTGGCTAAGTTTGAGATAGTTTGAATAATAAGGGAAAAGATTGAGATGTTGAAGAGGTTTTTCAAAGGATCCTAAGATTGTTGAGAAATGACTCTCTAAAAGCCCCTCACCTTCTCCACAAAGTCTGATAAGTTTAGACCTCATTTCTTGAACCCTTTTGCAAAGTTTGGTGACATCAATAGGGTTTGGTGGCATGCATGTGACAACTAGTTGTGTGAACAAAGTGTTGACATCTTTGCAGGGTTTGAGACTCTCAAGGCTCGCGATTTGTTCATACAACTCGAAGACTTTTTGCACCAGAGCATCATTTTGGCAACCCATGTCGACACTATGAGGATATGGGGGAATCAAAAGGAAAACTTACGCAGAGAGAGCTCTCACAGGAAAAGATATTGAAAGACTCTTTCAAGGCATAGGACAAGTTGCAACCCTCCCAATGGGGCTGATTATTTAAGGGCGCTTGTAGGGTCCCACTCTCCACAGAAGATTAGCTCTGGTTTTGCATTATTAAACAGTAGGTAGGACTTTTGTTTTTAAATTACATGATTTACCGTGCCGTGACTCAATTGCCAGCTTTTTTTTCAATACGGTACCGTGTTTGTTTATGAATCATCCGAAGCTCATCAAAATCTGCAAAACTATATTACAAGGGTTATGCAATTCTTCTAACAGGTTTTCTCATTTCCATGCCGGATAGATTGATTAATCTCCAATTCATGAAGCATTAGCAAGACAAAAGATATGCATAGTTAGTTGAATTTTAAGATGTTGGCTTGCTTAGTGTTGTCTTGAGTTTTATGAGCTCTTGAGTTCGAGTTTCTCCATGCACTAATAAGGATGACACTTGGATTCTTATCCGACCAACAATTCTAAGACCTCGAGGGATTAGTTGAAGTATATACAAACTGACTTTGATAAACACTAATAGTTGAGATATAAAAATAATTTTTGTATAAAATACGTATATTCAATCAATGAGAAAGTAACATGTAAACGCATGTGGCATACACGATGCTTTTGTGTATAAAATATGTGATAATCATAAATATTAAATTAAAATGATGCATAATTGACACTAAGATTCTCTTCTTGTGCCTTTCACATTATTGATTTTTGCTATTTTATGTTTTCACGCTATGTCTCCAACCTCATTATCATAGAGTTTTGAGTATTGGTCATAACTCATAACTTCTAAGAACAAACAAACTGTCCAATAACAATCAATTATATAGTTAACCAATGATGAAAGTAAACCTTCTTCTTGAGGTGAACGTGAACTAAGTGATAGAGCATCATTCAGTTCACACTAGAGATTTCCAATTTAATATGAACCCCATTTGTCTTATCATATTTTATATATATCAAGGACAAGGAATAATTGTGGCCACCCGCCAAAATAAATCATCAGTCACATTGAAAAGATCAACGTGATTGATTGAACCGATATTGTAAGTTTTAGATGAATGTTGACGAATATGTTCCTATATAATATCAGTTTGTATGTGAGGCTGACAGACAAAAATAGTTTTAAAACTCTTTTGATCCTGCACTTCTTCAAACGCCATTTTGTGTCATAATTCTTAGTGATTTATTCAGGCATTTTGGTTGGTCTAAAACAGTGGTGTGTGTGGCTAATGATTTTGGATAACATAAACTAATGCAGAAGTCACATCAGATCCATTTCTCACATTGCAAGTAATTTGAAAGCCAATTATATTACTATTATAAATATGCTGTGATCAAACAATCTGGACAAACCGATTATTGCAGCTGGCTTGATCTCCATCAAATTCCTCTTGTCATTTTAGACAAACAAACAAGAGTTGATAGCTCAACAAACAAGATGACATATTGGAGGAATTTTGAGTTAACTTCAAGGTTACACTCTCAAATTTATCTAATTCCAGTATAGAAATTTTCCTTTAAATTTGTGAAAGGCTTGAAATGACAAGATGATATCACATATTCAATTAGTACTTGTAAGACCAACTACAGATCTTTATATGTGGCAAGTGACATAACCATGTCTCAATATAGTGTTAAACTTTATTACTGGGGACCCATTTTTACTGTATAATCATAGACTTATTTGATTTATAGATTCTCCATATAGAGAAGAAAAAAAAAATTGCAAAAAGACAAATACAATTGGTTGTTTTAGCAGACCCTAGTTTTTTTTTATTCTTATCTTTCTCTTAATACTGTCATAGACAAGTGCCCTTTACACGAATTGGATGGCCACCTTTAGGTTTGAAGTTTGAACTCTATTATGTTGACATTTCATGTCATCAAATCTTCTGTTCTGAATAAAAAATTCAACTTCTTAACAAGAGATAGTGATGCTTCTTTTTAATTTGTGTTTCTATAAGCTAGCAAACAGCCTTTTTTTTCTTTTTTTTTTAATATCTTGCCTTTTTCTTTTGGATTCAATGGTGCAAATAAAAGCTCATGAGCATTGATCAATGTCTTTTAGAAGTGCTGCCTGACAATTGGATGCTTTTGTACCTTGGAGTTTTCTTCACATTCTTGACCCTCTATATTTAAACCAATCTCTATATATTCTATGACTTGGAGAAACATTATTTTTTTCCACAAAGTCTCTATTCTATTATATAATGCAACTAGCTAGTGACACATGGGAAAGAAGACAAATATTACAATCATTAAGCATGTTTACATCTTTCATAAATTAACCTTATTATATATTCCTAAGATGTCGATAATCAAACATGTGATTTGTATTGGAGTTATCGACTACTTCAACATTAACAGGTTATGCAAACATATTCAAGACTCCCATAAAACAAGTTCGAAACAAGATTTTAGTTTCAAACTCGATCTCATAGAGCTGGTTCGATAGATTTTATATGTTATAGCATGGACATGTAATATACCTCACTAGAATTTGAGGACAGTAGATATAAATCTAAAAGTTTTAACCACTAAGAGAAAGTGATCATCAGGATCTAGAAGAACATAAACACTAACTAGAGAGCATGTAGATATGAGATGATTGATGCTTTTTTGACCACTTTGGCCGACTTTCATTAGAATCACTACCAACAAGAGTGACCAAATGCGACTACTCGACACTGAAATCCCCATACACTTTTTTGATAAGCCCCTTTTCCATTTATATTCCATTGTGTGGGGCAAGAAAATGACACCCGGTTACATGAAAGAAATAATTTCCCTTATTTAACAAGAGAGATAATTTCTCTGTTGAAAATATGTCTCTTCGAAGCCATTGACGGCCCCCTTTCAAGTCATATTATGCCATTTGCAATTCTATTCCTAAGTAAAAAGCTTAGACTCCACTCATAGTTTTCATAATTTCAAACTCCCTGTTATACAAACGCACTACAATGGTGCTCTTTCATTATAACGATTTTCTTTCAATCTTTATAAACCGTTTTTAACTATTCTTTCAATATCGTTTATGTATTATTTTTTTTTCTCGTATACCTTAACAATTAACAATTTTAATGTTCAAACAACTATTAGTATGTATTACAACATACCCATATATTGAGTTTAAATCAAGAAGATTTTGCTGTTCTTTAATTCATATAATGTCTTGATCAAGAACAAAGAAGGTGAGCCCCATAATCACAATAAAATGGCAACATTTTAAGCAAAAGAACAAAATGAGTGGGGAGGTAGCAATGCATATTCATTGGTTCAGAGTGAAGTCAAATAAACTGTGGCCACTTGGTCATGGGGGGTGGTGGGTGTGTGGCAGCCACACGACCACCATGTGCCACCACGCAATCTGATACTGATTGAAACATGCCTCTCTGATTAGACATTTTTGTTCTTTTATTTTAGTCTATGGCTCAAAACTTTATCTATCTACAACAATATCAATCAACTTGGGCTCTATTGTTTTCATCAGATTAATTGATATTGTCAATTTGTTGTCCCATTTCGCATAACAGATGGTCTTCTTAAGCTTCTGTCAATATTTTCTTTTCTTCATTGTTCTTATCAGTTTCTGAATTGGTATTTCTTGTGTTCAATTATTTCCTTTTTATCCTTTTCTGCTGTTTGGCTCATCTTTGTAGCAAACATGCATCAATGGTTGTATTCATAAGATGTAACAGAAGACAGAGTAGACTAATTCACGAATTACTTTGATAACCAGTAGGGGCCAATATGAATTCTCACAAACTTTAAGACAACATTATTAGTACATCTATACACAAATTTGAATGTATTACTAAAATATGCTTATATTGCATCTACATTCAATACAATATCATGAAAATTAAAATCATAGAAAGGATTTCATTGTCTTCATCTCAGCTCTTAATTTTCATATGTTTCGTAGTTCTCATAGGGAGGAGATTCGTAGTTCTCATAGGGAGGAGATTCAAATTCATTGGAGTACTCAGAAGAAGCTTCAATTTTTCCTTCCACTGGTTCAGTTTCTTCATTTTGAACGAATTGAAGCAAGAAATGTACTCCGTTAATTACATCATATACCATTAATCCAATCCTACCACCAACCCAACAACCCAGATGACTACCGACAAGATAACCGAACTTCCCAAGGCTTTGCTCTCCAAGGAACCCTCCAGCATAGGCACCAACTAAAGTTCCACTGCCCCTGAGGAACCCTTCGGTCATGGTACCACCATAGTATATAGCTTCAAAAAAGTCCCATCCAGAAGAGATAATGGGGCCTACAATACGTTTAGCTTGCCGGCTCGCTTGCTTTGCTGCCTTTGCTCCTTCTTTCTGTGCTTGTTTCGCTGCATCTTTAGGAGGCAATCCCTGTGATACTGCATCAGCTAGTGCCGTCTCAATAGCTAAATTTCTTACTCCCTCGACATGAGCAGTTCTAATGCTGTAGACATAGAGTTTCACTCCCTCCTTCACAGTGCATGCTAAAGTTCCAGTTCCCATGTCAAAGCAGTTCAGTATTGTGAACTTCCCACTTTGGGACGAACCCTCTTCCCCAACCAGCTGCCTACATTTTTCAGCTATAAAGTGCAAACCGTAAGAACTTTTCCACATTGTAACTAAGGTACTAGAGCATACATGTAAAGACATACAAATTATGCCCACAACACATAAGCGTGCAAATATAACTTATAGTTGGAATCATAGGGGTAGCTTTAAAATTGCAAACTGAAGATTACAAGATTCTAAAGGATAGCCCAAATATTGAGAATATATAGAGAATGCTTGAGACTGAATAAGAAAAATGTACAATAATTCAACAAAAGAAAGAGAAATTATAATTAACTCTACAAAAGCAGAAAGTAAACCACATGAATTACCCAGAGAAAAGAACCCAAAGAAGGATTGTTGATATTCACCATCCAAAACCTGATATTGCAGTGAAAGTAGATCTAACAGATAAAGATTTAATTGATAATGAAACAAATGGTGCTACTCCTTCATTCAAAATGCTAGAAACACCATCTCTCTCAGTCATTCAGTTAAATATGCAATAGAGATTATCCCATCAACCCCATCGTAAACGAAAAAGAGGTTGCTTCACAATACATTTTAACCAAATCACGATCAACACAACCAAATACACACAGCACAATACAATCATCATATTTTAATTCGTCTTATGAGTTACGACCAACCCAATACAACAAAACCTAATGGGTACTAGCAAGTTAAGCTCGTTGTACTTGTTCATATTGTATAAGAAGCCTTGGGATTCAATCCCGCTCACCTTTGGCAGCAAGGCATTTGATTGTAACTTTGGAGAATTTTATTTTATTTTTCAAAATATATTCACAATAGTTTTTCCAACAGGAGAAACATATGGCATTTGGATCTATAAATTTGGGATAAAAATTAAACCAAGCACATCTACTCCAATTCAATTTTAGTAATATCTTCATTATCCTTTTTTAATTCCAATTACAGTTAAATTAATCTTCACATAGTAGTATCTTAATACAACTTAAATAAGAACTACATCTGCCCACATAATAAAAATTAAAAATTAAAAATTCCAGCTTTCTGCTAAAGGCTCTGGCTTTAAGCCAAAACAACAAGTTTAACATACGAAATTAACTAATTGAAATCAACATTTAACCTTCAGAATCAAATAAAGCGATAATATCCAGAAAAATTACATCATGTTATATACATGTACCTGTAATGCTGAGAACGATGATACCAGCGATGAAGATGAAAAGTTGAACTCTCCTCTTCGGAAGATCCATGTAGAAACCCTTGCTGGTTCAGCAAAGAATGCTGACTTCAATACTTATCTTGATATTAGGGTTTCAAAATCGAATAATCTGAGTTAACTTGTACGGAGTTCCCAAGTGAAGATTCTTCCGAAGAAGATGCATCGAAAACGCAGCGTTTAAAATCTGCGCGGTTGACTGGTTAAACGCAGCGTTTTGCATATGACATATTGCGATCTAACATTATCTTGAATATCTACTAAAATAATTTATTTAATGTTATTATTATAATAACAATCTATTAATTAATCCCTTAAATCATATATTATAGAGTTGTGTCTGTGATGAATCGATTCAAATAATTTTTTTTTTTTTTGCCTCAGCATATGATTAATCAATACTTCATTATCCACATGATAAACAATTAGAATACAAAATCTAATTTTAATATTTTAATGTCCATTCATCATATAACCTAATTAAAATGTCTTTCATAAGATTTCCCACCACCAGCCCTACCTAAATCGCGGATGCTCATATAGAAAATCAAACCTGAAACCGTACGTCTATCCATAGGATCCCTAATTTATCATAACCATCTAGATTACCTATGATCAATATAAATGAAAATCGATCCTGAGACCCTTAGGGTCCGTTTGTTTTATTATTTTGGATAGGATTTTGAAAATAATATTGGGTAGTTGAATAGGGGAGTATTACGAGGTAAAATTTAAAAATTTACAAAAAAACCCCCCTAGGTTTGCTAATTTAACTAAACACCCCAATATATAAAAATTTTGTAAAATGACAAAAACACCCCCACCCAACCATAGTGCCAGATTCCGACCACCATCGCTAGAATTTGGCCCAAAAATGGCGTTACGACGCAGATCGGTCGGATCTGACGGGTAGGGCGTCCATATGAGATTTTTCGACTAGATCCAACACAGATCTAGATGAAAAATGTAAATCTACGGCCAAATCTGACCGTCGACAGCCGCAAAAGTCCAAATATGGCCGTCATTGTCGATCAACGACGACCATTTCTATGGCCAGTTCTGATCGTTTGTAGGCCGTTGTGATAGATTCTGGCTACCACCAACGATGGTTGCCGGAATCTGACAAGTATGAGTGGGTGGAGGTGTTTTTGTTAATTTTTAAACTTTTTTTCTGAGGGTATTTATGAAATTAATAAATTTAAGGAGTCTAAACATAATTAAAAAAAATACTAATATTTCTCAAATAGCAAAACAAACAAGTATTTTGGGAATATGATTGAAAATATAGGTAGAAATAATAAGCCAATCAGAGCCTAAAATATGTATGTATGTATAAACTTGTGGTACAGCTCATTTCGTTTAAGTGCTCCTTGTGGTATCATAAAATCTCTGGTAATAGATAACACAAACTACCATTACCAATATCAAGAAAGTATGAAAAGCTTTCATTGTGTATGAAGGAATAGAACTGACTGTACATGAAACTAGAAGAATGCAGGTGTTAATTTATTAGGGTATGTATATAGAATTGCAAATCTGCATCCTTCAACATTTGCATCAACATGATCTTCTCAGCATCCAACTCATACTTTCTCTGATTAGGTCATTGTACTTCTGCTCCATCAAATTAATCCGACTCTTTATTCCAGGATTTTCAACTTCCCGGAAGGTGATTTCCTTTGCCAGGTTGATGATATTGTTCTGTTTTGCCATTCTCCACTGCCGAGCAGCTTCTCGATTCTTCCTTCATTGTTCCTCGATCTTGCATTCATGTTTATGATCATCTTTCGAAGCAGAGGTTGACATATGGATCCTTCTGTTAAAGAGTTTTGAGTTAATGTATATAGCTATATAATAATGTGAATATAGTTCAACAGAAACACAGAATCTTGAGAATAATATTTTCCTAAAAAGTTAGCTATAAACAAAGTTTTCCTGATAAATGTAGGAATAAACAGATCATAAGATATACACAATGTAAGAATGATCTAAGATGTTTAAAAGTTAATCATAGAGTTAACACATAATGGGAAAGTAGCGTTTTCCTAAACATTGCATGAATACTTTGATGAAACTATAAAATTTTCGAGAACTAAAGACTGGATTGATTTGGAACCAACAAAGATTGGTTTTTGGAAGTAAAGGAAGTTTTAGAATACATTGATGAATCTCCTCCATATAGCTGGCATGAAGCATCATAAATCTATTATCAGATGAGTTGAGGCACTATGAACAGTTTCTTTATCTTCAGAAACGTTGTAAATCAGATGATTATACTAACCTGTAAATCATTTTACATATATCTATGGAGAAACATCACAGACCATGTACTCTTATGCATAATTTGCAATGCAGGTAGTTCTTGAAATCCGAAGACTTCAACTAGCAATGTGTGGGGGCGAGAGAGGCTTGAACTTTTCACCTCAGTATAACTCAGAAGATGTCAGAACATGCGTTCTACTCAACCTTGCCGGAACCCCATTAAATCAAGCAAAGACACCCCATTAAATCAAGCAAAAACTTGAAATGCAAAATTGCAGTATCCTGTGTGAGACAAGAAGCCAAATCTTCATGAAAAGCAAGAACCAGGCTAAGCACGTGTATCAGACTCTGTTGGTGTGTAAACCACTTGTATACACATAAGGGCTAATCAATATTTTTATTACCAGTACGGCCATGAGAAGAAGTAATACAATGGTCACACTGTCACAGTGACACTGATTATTATTTTTTCTCTCTAGGAGGAGCTATAAGGTGCCTGAAACATTATACAGATGGCCTTCTATGTCTGGAACAAAGCCTTTCTCCATCATTTCCTCTCTAACTATCTCATAGGTTGTTTGATTTGGGATCAAACCCTTCTCTAACAACTCATTAAGAAGCCCATTTGCGCCTTGTAGCTTGCCCTTCTGACAGAAGCCCCTTATCAGTACATTATATGTTGCAATATTAGGCCGCATCTTTTCTTTCTCCATTTGTTTTCTCAAATTCAATGCAGCGACAAGGTTTCCTTCCCCACAATAACCATCCATCAACGTATTATATGTCACATGACTTGGACTCAAACCCACCTTGACCATCTCATCCAAGAGTTTCGCTGCATTTTTTGACTCCCCTTCTTTGCACAGTGCACCTATCAATATATTATATGTTACAAGATCAGCTCTCAAATGCTTATTTCTTAACTCATTTGTGATCTTCCTTGCTTCTTCGACATTCCCCTTACTGCATAAACCCCCAATTAAGCAGTTATATGTTGAAATATCTGGCAACACCCCTCTATCTAACATAGAATCACGCCATGCAAATGCATCCTCCATTTTCCCATCCTTACAGTAAGCATTAATCAACGTGTTATATGTTATCACCGTGGGAACCATTCCTTGTTTTGAAATATCATCAAACAACTCCCTAGCTTTGTCCAACATTTTCTTCTCACAGAACCCTTTTATAAGTGCATTATAAGTAATAACATTTGGCATCAAACCCAAGCCCATCATTTCATCCCTCAAAGCAATAGCCTCATCAAGCTGCCCATGAACACATAAGCCATTGATCAAAGAATTATATGTAACCACACCGGCTGTCACACCGTGACTTTTCATTTCCTCAAACACCTTCAAAGCTGCCGGTAAATTCTTATCCTTACAAAACCCATCAATCAATATATTGAAAGTCCTCTCATTCGGTTGAATTCCATTCTCCACCATGTCCTTCAAAACCGCATCAGCTTTATACATTTTCCCAATCTTACCTTTCTTGCAATATCCATCAATAAGAGTAGTATAAGTAATGGAATTTGGCGAAATCCCCAACAATTTCATGTCATCAATAACATCACTAGCTTTATTCAATTTCCCAAATTTACACAACCCATTAATCACAATATTAAAACTAATCAAATTAAACTCAATTCTTCTCCTTCTCATCTCCTTATACACATACTCCACCTCCTCAAATTTCTCCTTTTTCACTAAAAGACTCAACAACTGATTACAAGATAGAGCTGATAACTTCAGCCCATAATCACCAGCCCTCTTAAACGCCTCTAGACCCAGATTGTGTTTCATATTTTTAGCATAAGCCAACACCAACATATCAACAATGATTGAATTTATACACAAACTATCGTTACTCACAGAAACCGCATGGAAAATCGAAGGAACAGAATGAAAGCTCTCATTTTGAACAAACCGATGCAAAAAATTTCTCATCTTTGAGTACTTTTTCGCAGCTGCTAGTGACTGTAATAGTCTACAAGTGAGCTCTAAAGGGTGGAAAAGTTTAAGCTCTTTTGTTGACCAATTAAAGTACCTGAGAACGAGATCTGGATCAGCTTCAGAATTGATAAGTTGTTGAAGAAGTGTTTTGGGGCTAGTGCTACTGAAATGGGTTCTGAGTTTTGACCAATGTTGGTTTCTTATTAGTTCTGTGATATTGTGCATGTTTTCTGCGGTTGAATTTGCAGAACAGAAGGACCTGAGGCCCTGTTTGTTTCCGGAGAAAACTATCCCAAGTGGGGATTTTCCCGAGAAAAATAGGATTTTTAGTGGCATGACCGTGGCTTTGCTCAAAGTAGTGATATTGAGTGCCAGAAAGAAGTGCTCAATCTAAAGCCCATAAGCCAAATTAGGGTATTTTAAAAAAGACTAAACGACTTTTTCCCACCCAAGGTTTGGCCGAATGACACTTGCCCACCGGCCAAGTTTCATAATGACATTTTCCCACCTCCGTCACAATTTGTCTATTAACTTTAACTGCACAAGGACAGAATGGTAATTAAAAAAAAAAGGGTAACTATGTCATTTTACCCTCTTCTTCTTCTTCTTCTTCTCTCTTTCCTCTTTCTTTTCTTCTTCTTCTCTCTTTCCTCTCTTCCCTCTTTCTTTTCTTCTCTTCTTCTCTTGCCTCTCTCTTCTTCTTTTACTGTCGACTACGACTTTCTTTTTTCTCTCTTAATAGAGAGACGAAAGAAGGAATCATCGTCAACCACCATTCATTTGACCCCTTTTGCTTTTGCGTTTGCTTTAGCAATTGGGTCCAGTTGCTTCTGGTGAGACACTCAACAAATTAAGAAGGAAATTAATATTTAAAAAAGAAAAAGAAAAAATAAAAAAATAAACTAAAATTACCATTCTATCCTTTTGTAGTTAAAATTAACTGAAAAATTATAACGGAGGGTGGGAAAATGCATTATGAAACGTAGTAGGTGGGACAATGTCATTAGGCCAAACCTTGGGTGGGAAATAGAGGTGGACAAGGAAGGCCTGTGCCTTCAAGGTCTGGTCCGAATAAGGAAAGGGCCCAAGGGCCCAAATCTTGAAGGACTAATCTTGGGCCCATGAGTTTTCTTAGGGCTCAGACCGGTTCTAGGATTAGTCATTGGCTCATAGAACCGGTCTCGATCCTATGGGCCTAGAAAATTTTATTTTTTTTTGTAAAATTCTATTTTAACCCCTCGATTTATTATGTATTTTATTATAGGGAGTTTTGGATATTTGTCAGTGGTTTATGCAATTGGGTGGGGTTTTTAAAAATTAATAGGCCTGCTAGGACCGGTCCCAGGCTCGAGCCCTGCAGGAGGGACCAGCCTAGGCCCAATCCCTCCTCCCTTGGGCCTAGTCTGATCCTAGGACTTGGTTTTGGGCCTAGGCTTTTTTCCCACCTCTAGTGAGAAAAAGTCGTTTACTCTGTAAAAAATAATAAAATCACATTCCATACATTTTATATAATAAATATATTTCCCTTGACTAATTCTCAAGAGAGAATAAGCATAGTTATGATCCTCCACTGAAACTTAAATCGGTAATATTTAGATGAGGAAATGAACTTAAAATTGTGCACCTATCCACACTATTTCTAACTCGTCCTAACCATCCACGGATGGATAATAAATATTTTTTAATTTTGATTAAAGTTGAAATATTTTTCTAATTTATTTTTGAGATTGGCTCACTTTTTAGCTTCATGAAATTAATATTATATGTTATATGTTTTTAATTATTGAGTGAAAAAATTTAATGAAGGTGACTCATGGATGTGGAACCACCTTCATGTATAACAAGCTTTTGAAGTGGCAAGAAAGTTCTAGGGTTTCATTTGTGTACAAAAACCCAACAAAATTCACATTGATAATTACTATTTTGACCCTCAAAACTTTTCCTTCCCTAATCTAATTTAATAAACATTATTGATGTATGCAACTAATTTATTAATAAGTATATTATTGGTGTAATGTTTTGCCGAATACTCAAATCGACAATAGAAAAATTAGAAACAATGTAGTATAATAGGTTTTATCTACAATGCAACATTTATAGATGTAATCTTTTACTCAATATTTGAATCGTCGAGAAGTAATCAAAAGCTTCATGTGCACACAAAAGACACAAAATACTCACCCATTTTTTTGGATAGAATAAATAAATCCTTTTATTTTTCTTTTGAGATTTCCAAATTGATTAAAGGAATTTTTCAAATTTTTAAAAATTGGATGTAGAAACAAAAAGACTAAGAACCGTCTGATTATACAAACAAAACGCAAAAATAATAAACTACTTTTATTTAGTTTAAATATTCAAATTTTTAGGTCGACACCACACTAAATCCTTGGATTCAATTATTCAGAATCAGAACACTGGTTTGCTGCTAAAAGTATAGTTTTTATCTGTTTTGCTTAAATTTTCAACCATAGGGATAAGAAAATTCATTTTCCCATATTTTATTCATTATAAAGAACAATCTACAATTTTCAAATATATATTTTTTTTATTTAATGTCAAGTTGTAACTAGATGTTTTTATGATTATTTAATTTTCTTAAAAAAAAAAAAGATATAAATTTATTTAGTGTTTTTTTAGGAGGACATATGCATTTTTTTAAGTATATTATTGTTTATAAATATTGGAAAAATTAAATTTGAGTAAAAAAAAAATTGTAATTATATTATGAAAAATATTTTGATTTATTGATAAATGAGAGTTTTGATTTAATATATATATATATAATAATGCATTTAAGAGTTTTTAAAATTTAATCTTTATATTTCCAAATAATATTATGCATTTCAAGTTATAGAATATTGTCCTATGATTTATGAGAATTATATATTGTTTATGTCACAAGTAAATTTTTTAATTGAGTATCTCTAATATATCTATGGTAAAGCTGGCCACTCGCTAGCCTAAAAAATAATCTATATTAGCAGTTTACTCGTTGTATATATATTAAATATAATATGTAAAATTAAGTTATACATCTTACCGAGTCTTGCATATTTAGTTTTATAATATAAATAAATTTTACAATCAAAATAAATAATTTAAAAAATGAGAAGCCAACAAAATAAAATTTTACGATCAAACATAATATTTCATCAAACCCACCGCTGCTGCTGACCACCCCCCCCCCCCCCCCCGCCCACACACAATTATTAAATATGTCAACCCTCCCCCAATTATTAAGTAGTTTAAAACTCCCCCATTTATTAAATACTTCATAAACCTCCCTCCAATTATTAAGTATTTCATACTATCAATATTTATCTCAAAAAATTAGCGTTAGTGAGAACCATAACCTATAAAAGGCATAAGCCAGTTCTTATATCTACATTTAGAAAAAAAAAAAAAAATCCGGTACAACTACAAATATTATAATGTCTGTATTATAAGTTTGTAGAAATTCTGAATGAAAGTTACTGTTTTAATCTGTTTCAGGTCATAACCCTTGGAGATCATCAAGGGTTTGCAGTATAAGAAGCACCATAATTAAATCTTGATGTTTATTTACCATTTTCGTCGCCTAGGACAAATCAAATACTTGTCATATATTTGCTCTATGTATATATTACTGATCATAGATTTATGATGGTGGCGTGTAGGGAGATGGAGATTGAATTGGATTTGATATTTTTTAATGAGAATTGTGATGACGACAATGAATTGACTTTGATATATTTGAATGTGAATTGTAACAATGACAACGAAGTGATTTTAACTCCAATTTTGTATTCTCCCAATTTAAAACCTACTTGTTCTCCCAATTTTTTTTTTCTTTTTTTGTTTTCAATTCAACGAATTGCATTGTGATTTTCAAATCTACTCTCTTGTTGGGTTTAAATTGACAAAATTTATTATATAAATATCAATTTATTTTGCATCAAACTCAAAGACAAAATGGTAATTTCAACTGTTTCAAAATTTTAAAATCTCAAAAGTTACCGGTTGATTTTTAGCATTAGGGACAAATTGGTAATTTAATCTCTACACATGGTTGGGGGTATATTGGTAATTGATGTCATTGATATGATATATACTAATAAAAAAATTTTCTAGTCAAATAGTTAGGGGTATTTCCATCTTTGCAATGAAAATAATTATATTTAATGGCATTTACCGAAGGAACATGACGATTAGATGGGAAAATGGTATTTTGAAACTTTCTGGGTGGGAAAGTGTCATTGTGGCAAACCTTGGGTGGGAAACAGTTGTTTTCTCTTCTTTAGGGTTGTGACAGTAACTTTAAACACTGCATAGATAAGAATCATATTTTAAAAATAGCAAATCTAATTTCTCATTTTTCAGTTTCGTTTTTCGAAAAATAAAATTTTGTTGTCATTTTAAAGTATTTGTTTAAAGGTAGGAACTTGAAAACAAAGAAAATAATTTAATAGTGTATAAAAACAATTATAATATTCTCTGTAGATCCTAAACAAATTTGTGTTTTTCATAAAACAAAACAGTTTCCAAAAACCTTATACTATCATGAGTAATACTAAATTTATAACCTCTTCCCATAAACTTTCTTTCATAACTCCGACATGGTAACTCGTTATTGGTCAACTTACAAATAGACAGATGAGACCCACAACAAGAAAGCGGAACACATTTACGAGCTGGCCAATCGTAAGCTACGTACCATGTTGGGATTGTAAGAGAATGTTTGTGAGAAGAGGTTTTTAAACATAGTATTTTTGAACCAACAATAGGTTGACTGAGTGGTAAAGGCTTGGGGCCAAGGGGTTTGCTCCCCCTATGGTCTTAGGTTTGAATCACAAAAATGGTGCTAATATTGTTGGTTATAGACTGTAGGGCTTGCCCTATTTCGGAAGCCTTATTTGAGGTTGGAGACTAGTTGAGATGCGCATAAACTGGTATGGATACACCTAGTAAAAAAAAAAAAAAAAAAAAAAAAGGAGGTAGTATTTTTGTATTATAATACATAATCTTATGATTGTTTTATCAATACTACATTAAGAATGTAATCATACGGTAATATCAAATCAATAACATTAATAACTAATTTAATAAAAATGATCGAATTACAGATATTAAGTAATGTATGCTCAAGCGAGATAATGTCATTATTGTTATAAGAATATGGTTATCAAATCAAAGTGGATTACTTAATAACATCTCTAAACCATTTACGAGAAAAAAAAAAAAAAAAACGATGAATTGAAAATATAAAAAACAATAATAAGGGAAAAAACTTCTTGGTCCTCCAATTCTATACCAATTTTTTTTTTTCTTAGGTTAATATCATTAAGTTGTCCAGAACAAGCGTATCAATTTTTTTCACATAAA